GCTATGTGTGCTCGCCCTCGCTGATCAATGAATGTTTTTTAGTTAAGAAACCTGGGCCAAAGATTCGATAAAGGATCAGGTGCTTGGCAAATAATCATTGTTAATTGAAAAAATGCTAAATGGTAATCAGCCTAAAATAGGGCATCAAGATTATATATTACATCAAAAACATGTTCATAAGTCTTAAAAATTTTGTTTTGCTGTCTGTAGTAGGTTGAATAGTGTGTCTCCCACCCAATCCCCCCAAATTGAGGTACAACCTTAGAATGCAACCTCAGACCTTAACTGAGAATAGGGTCTTGGCAGATGTAATTAAGGTAAAAACTGAAGTGAAGTCATACTAGATTAGGGTGGACCCTAAATCACTAAGAGTGTCCTTATAAGAGACAGAAAATGACATAGAGAGAAGAAGGCCATGTGAAGATGGAGGCAGAGATTGGAGTGGGGCATGTACAAGCCAGGGAACATCAAGGACCGCTGGCAGCCACCAGAAGCTGGAAGCGGCGAGCAGCAGGTTCTCTCTCAGACCTTCCACAATGAACCAACCCTGGCAACAACTTGATTTTGGACTTGTGGTCTCCAGAACTGTGAGAGAATAAATTTCTGTTGTTTTACGGCACCCAGTTTGTTGTACTACTTTACAGAAGCCCTAAAAAACTAATACACTGTCTTTTAAATTTTTATTTTAAAAAATTATCACACAGTAAAATTTTTTTAGTGTACAATTCTATGAAATCCAACACATACATAGGTTTGTATAACCACCACCACAATCAAGACACAGAACAGTTCCATCTCCCCCCAAACTCTCTCATGCTATCTCCCAACCTTGCTAACCCCTGGCAACCCCCAGCCCTAATGCCTAGCGCCACTAATCCGCTCTTCATCACTTTAGTAATGACTTCTTGAGAATGTCGTATAAATGGAATCATACATTATAAAACCTTGCGAAACTAGCTTCTTCCAGTCAGCACCATGTCTTTGAAATTCATTCAAGTTATGTGCATCATGAATTTCCTCTCGTTTACTGCTCAGTAGTATTCTATTTTGTGGCTGTACCACAGTTTGTTTATCCATTCACCCAACAAAGGACATTTGTAGTATTTCTAGTTTTTTGCAATTATGAATAGAGTTGCTATAAACATTTATGTACATGTTCTTCTGTGAAAAAAGTTTTCATTTCTCTAGAAAAATACCCAGGAATGGGATTGCTGGGCCATATGGCAACTTTATAAGAAATGGCCAAACTGTTTTTCAGAGTGGCTATACCATTTTGCATTCCCACAAGCAGTGTATGGGAGTTCTGGTTGCTCCATATCCTCACCAGCACTTTTTTTGGTGAGTGTTTTTAATTCTCTAGGTATGTAGTGGCATCTCACTGTGGTTTTAATTTGCATTTCTGTAATGGCTAATAATGTTGAATATCTTCTCATGTGCCTTTTTGCCATTCATGTATCCTCTTTCGTGAAGCATCTGTTCAAATCTTTTGCTCACTATGTCTAATTAGGGTGTTTATTTTCTTCTAACGAGTTGTGAGAGTTCTTTATATATTCTGACCATAAATCCTTCGTCAGATATGTGATTTGCAAATATATTCTTAGTCAATAGCTTGTATTTTCATTCTCTTAGTGTTTTTCACATAGCAAAAGTTTTAAATTTTCAAAGTCCAATTTACCCATTTTTTCTTTTATGGATTATACTTTTGGTGTCTAAGAATTTTTCCTAACTCCATATAATGAAAATTTTCTCCTAAAAGTTTTGTTTTACCTTTAGATCTATAATCCATCTTGAGTTAATTTTTGTATAGTTGTTAGGTTTAGGTCAAAGTTGACCTTTTTTTGCACATAAATATACAATTGTTCCAATAACATTTGGTTGAAAAAGATAATTCTTTTTCCATGGAATTGCTTATGCACCTTTGTCAAAAATCAATTGGCCATACTTGTCTGGGTCTATTTATGGACTTTATATTCTGTTCCACAGGGCTATTTGTCTATGTCTACCAGAACCATACATTAATACTTTGTGATTAAGGCAGCCTTACAGTAAGTCTTTAAATCAGGTGGTGTGACTCCTCCACCTTTAACTTCTTTCTCTAAATTGTTTTAGCTATTCTAATTCTTTTGCTTTTCCATATTTCCAATTTTAGAATCAGCTTCTCCCTGACGGAATTTTTATTGACATTGCATTAAATCCATAAATCAAATTGGAGAGGATCAGTATCTTAATATGTTAAGTCTTTCAATCCATGAACACACTGTATGTCTATTTACTTAGGTCTTCTTTAATTTCTTTTATTAGTATTTTGTAGATTTCGGCATATGGAGCCTGTACATGTTTTATTAGATTTACACATAAATATTTTTCTTTGGAGTAATAGTGGTACTTAAAATATTTTTGGGTCTAACTGTACATTGCTACTACATAGAAATATGATTAAGATTTGTGTGCTGATCTTGTATTCTGTGACCTTCCTAGACTCACTTATAGTTTTAGGAGTATCTTTTTCAAATTCTGTGGGATTTTCTATGTAGACAATCGCGTCATCTGCAAGTAAGGATAGTTTTATTTCTTTTTCTTGACTTATTGTTAGGATTTCTTTATGTCTAAGACTTCCAGTATAGTGTTAGATTGGGAGTGCTGAGAATAAACATCCTTGCCTTGTTTCCAGTCTTAGGGGAAGCATTCAGCTTCCACCATTAAGTATGGTATCAGTTGTGGGTTCCTTATAGATGCTCTATCAGGTTGAAGAAGGTGTCTTTTATTTGTAGTTTGCTGATATATGATCATGAATGGATGTTGCATTTTGTCTAATGCTTTTTCTGCATCAATTGATATGATTTTCTGGATTTTCTTCTTTAAGCTGTTAATATAGTAGATCACATTATTGATTTTTAAATATGGAGCCAGCCTTGTGTGCCCTAGATAAACGCACTTGGTCATTCTGTATTCTTCTTATATGTTGCTGTATTCAATTTGCTAATATTGTGTTGAGGATTTTTATGAGACTCATGAGAGATACTGCTGTGTAGTTTTCTTTCTTCCTTCCTTCCTTCCCCCCCTCCCTCCCTCTCTTTCTTTCTCTTTTCACTGTCTTTGTTGGTTTGGGCATCAGAGTGATGCTGGCCTAAAACAAACTGAGAAGTGTTCTCTCTTCTTCTCTAGAAAGGATTATACACAATTGGTGTTATTTCTTCTTTAAATCTTTGGTAAAATTGACCAGTGAAACAATCTGGACCTGGACATTTCTTTTTCAGAAGGTTTTTAACTAAGAAATTGAACTTGCAGATATAACTTTCAGATTGTGCATATTTTGGTAGTTTGTGGTTTTGAGGAATTGGTCCATTTCATCCAAACTGTCCAAATTTCATCCAAATTTCTGCGTGAAGAGTTGTTCATAGTATTCTCTTACTATCCTTTTAACATCTGCAGGACCTTTAGTGATATTCCTTCTTTCATTCCTGATATAGGTAATTTGCATGTTTTTTCTTTGTCCATCTTGCTATATCAGTTTTATCGATTTTCTCTACTATTTTTTTTAAAGATTTTATTTTTTCTTTTTCTCCCCAAAGCCCCCCGGTACATAATTGTGTATGTAGTTGTGGGTCCTTCTAGTTGTAGCATGTGGGACTCCGCCTCAGCATGGCTTGATGAGGACTGCCTTGTCTGCATCCAGGATTCGAACTGGGAAAACCCTGGGCCGCGGAAGCAGAGTGCACAAACTTAACCACTCGCCCATGGGGCTGGCCCTTCTCTATTATTTTTTATGTCTTCAATTTCACTGATTTCTCCTCTTTGGGGTTTATTTTGTTTTTCTTTTTTTTAGCATCTTAAGGAGGAAGCTTATTGATTTGAGACCTTTCTTTTTTTCCAATGAAAACATTTAATGCTATAAACTTCCCTATAAGCACTACTTCAGCTGCAACCCACAGTTTATATGTTGTATTTTCATTTTTGTTCAGTCGAAAATATTTTCTAACTTCTTTTGAGACTTCCTCTTTGACCCATGGATTATTTAGAAGTGTGTTAATTTCCACATACTTCAAAATTTTTCTGTACTGATTTTTGGTTAATTCCATTATGGTCAGACAATATATCTGATGTGCTTTTAATCTTTTAAATTTGTAAAGGTGTATTTCATGACACAGCATATAGTCTATCTTGTGGAATGTTCCATGGGTGACTGGAAACAAAACGTATTGTGCTGTTGCCAAGAATTCTATAACTACTAATTAGATTCAGGTCAAGTGATGTCTGGAGAACTGGAGGAAACAAAACAGTAAACTTACAGCCAGTTCTATGGTACTTTGTATTCCAGTCTTTTTCTTCAATGCACTGCCATTTCCTTTTCAAGGTCTTCAGGGGCTCCATCCACTCTATCCAGGTTTTGTAGCTACATTTAGTAAGAGAAAAAGGGTGGGGTCTGCTTTCTCCATATTACTTGGAACCAGAAATTGCTGATAACCTTTGACCCAGTAATCCTTCTCTGGAGCAGCCATTCTAACTTAGAAGATAATCCAGAAGAAACCTATGTATGTGCTGTCATAATAGCCATACTAAAAATAACTTACATGGTCAAAACATGAAGAGAGTAAATGCACCCATACAATAAAACATAACTTAGATCTTTAAAATTATAAATATGGTAACCATGTAAAAGTAAGAAAGAATGGGAAATGATGCTGAGTAAAAAAGCAGAACATAAACTTGTGTTGGTGTTACAAGTACTTGTATTACCTTTTTTTTTTTTAAAGATTTTATTTTTTTTCCTTTTTCTCCCCAAAGCCCCCCAGTGCATAGCTGTATATTCTTCATTGTGGGTCCTTCTAGTTGTGGCATGTGGGACGCTGCCTCAGCGTGGTCTGATGAGCAGTGCCATGTCCACGCCCAGGATTCGAACCAACGAAACACTGGGCCGCCTGCAGCGGAGCGCGCGAACTTAACCACTCGGCCCCGGGGCCAGCCCCTACTTGTATTACTTTTTTAAAAAAAAACTATGTATGTATACATGAGCTAAAACATTTAAAATTGAAAATATTTCCTGAAATTATGAATAATCTTTTAAAAGAGACAAATTGATTAATTGGTGACAAGGAGTAAAAATGAATTCTTAATTCCTCTTCTCTCTGGGGGCTGAAATAGGCAGTGGTACTCAAACGGATGGCAACACACAAGAGTCCCTTGCAGACCATGATCTTTTGCAGGAACACAGAAATGTCTGAGTGATACAACGGAAAATTATTTTCTATGCAGAAGTGCCAAATGTTGGTCTTCCCAGCCTATCAGTGGTCGCTTCGTTCTCTGCATTTTCAGGTTTCACTGCGGGAAGCAGGGTACGTCCACACCACTACCAGAGTTCACCAGGAATGTGGGGCAGCCTGTACCCACGAGGCATGGAGGGCCAAATCCGTGTTGGCCTGCTCTTCGGAGAGCAGCATGGTGCTGTGTGGACCGCACCATTCCTGACAAACAGCTCCAGGGGCGCTGTGAGACCGAGGGCCCCTTGGGCCAGGCGCGTGCTCCATGTGCTCTGGGAGGACGGGCTCGCCCGACTCCCTTCAGGAGCTGTGGCAGCCTGTCAAGGGGTCTGTCTGCAGCCAGGAGGACGCTCAATGGCTTCGGACACACAGAGGTCCACAGGGACGGACTTGGCTCCCTCAGGCCAAGAGAGGAAGGTTCCGGCAGCCTCCCCATGGGCCTTCCTCAGATTCTCCAGTGGGCAGGTGGCCTCCTCCGGGGCCATCCTTGGGCTCTCCGGCAGGCAGCCTCAGCACGGGCCTTCCTCAGGCTCTCCGGTGGGCAGGCAGCCTCGTCCGGGCCTTCCTCGGGCTCTCCTGAGGGCGGCCTCCTCCTCCTCCTGCCAGGCCTTCCTCGGGCTCACCCACGGGCAGGCGGCCTCCTCCTGGGCCTTCCTTGGGCTCTCCCGCAGGCGGCCTCCTCCTCCTCCTGCCGGGCCTTCCTCGGGCTCTCTGGTGGGCAGGCGGCCTCCTCCTGGGCCTTCCTTGGGCTCTCCCGCAGGCGGCCTCCTCCTCCTCCTGCCAGGCCTTCCTCGGGCTCTCTGGTGGGCAGGCGGCCTCCTCCTGGGCCTTCCTTGGGCTCTCCCGCAGGCAGCCTCCTCCTCCTCCTGCCGGGCCTTCCTCGGGCTCACCCATGGGCAGGTGGCCTCGTCCGGGCCTTCCTCGGGCTCTCCCGTGGGCGGCCTCCCTCGGGCTCACCCGTGGGCAGGTGGCCTCATCCGGGCCTTCCTCGGGCTCTCCCGCGGGCGGCCTCCTCCTCCTCCTGCTGGGCCTTCCTCGGGCTCACCCATGGGCAGGCGGCCTCGTCCGGGCCTGCCTTGGGCTCTCCCGCGGGCAGCCTCCTCCCGGGCCTTGTGGACTCTGGGAAGGCGGTGCCGTGGATGTGGGAGGCAGTGGCCTCGAACAGCCCAGGTGCAGCCCCCACCCCGACATCGCGGGGTCCATACAGACCACAGGGTCCAGGGGCAGCGGCTGTCTGTCCTCCGGGTCCGGCGTCGCACGAGGGCACAGGCAGCCCCCCGAAGGCTGGCGGTGCGGGAGGCGCGAGGGTCCTGAGTTGGGCTCACCACAGGACGCCATGTCTCCGGCCCGCTGGCCAGGTCACCCTCGTCCCGCCCGGTTGGAGTCCAGCGGCCGCCGTGAGGAGGTATCTCTGCCCTCGGAGCTCGCAGTCAGCACAGGGCGACGTGCGGCCGGGCCGCATGCGACCCACGGGCAGCGGCACTCGGCCCCTGCTGGCCCGCCGAACTCCCGACAGTCTCCGGGGCAGGCTGGCAAGCACAGGGAGACGCCCCGCCTCCGGCTCCGCACAGAGTCGCCGCGCTCCGCGCCGGAGACGAGGCCCAAGGCGGACCTCCCGCGCGCCGCAGCCCGAGGGCGGGGCCTCCGCAGCAGCCCGCCAGGGGCCGTGGGCGGGGCCTGCGCGCGCCCGAGCGCTGCGGCGTCAGCCTGTGGCGGCCGCGGCTTGGCCCAGCTCCTGCCCGGCCCCTGCTCGCTACCGTCTTCCCAGTCTTCAGCGTCTTCAGCGCGTTCCTGCGGCTTCGGCTGCCGCCCAGCCCTGTCCCGCCGCCGCCTTTTCGGACGTCTCGGCCCATGGCGGACCCGGCCGGGTCCCAAGGTGCACGAGGCGCGCAGGCGACTTCCCGGGCAGCGCCCGAGGCCCCGCCTCTCCCAGGGGCGGGCGTCTGGCGCGCGGGTGCTGCGCAGGCGCAGTGCGGAGCCTCGCGGCCCCGAGTAGCTCGCGCGGCGCCCTCAGGGCCGGCGTCGAGGGTGGCGGCGGCGTGGCTGTGCCCGGAGGCCCGCCTGGTCTTTCCCGTTTTAGGATTGATTCGGCAGTCGCTCCACAAGTTCCCACGGCCCTGCCACTGGCTTCTGGCCACACCCTCCCTCCGGCCACCGCCCTCCGGACCGTGGCTGCGCCTGACCCTGCGGGTGAGGGCCTCAGTCTCCCCACTGCCCCGCCAAGCGGGAGGGCCCCCGCGGCTCTCCTCTGCAGCGGCCACAGCCCGGAAGGGCCAGCGTGGCCCGTGGTCAGCTTCTGGATTGGCCTGGGGGCTCGGCCTTTGGGGTGGGCCTCTGGGGTCACCTGCAGGTCAGCCTAGGGGGGTGGGGCTCCATGGTCGCCTGCAGGTCAGCCTGGGGGGAGGCCTCCGGGGTCGCCTGCAGGTCAGCTGGAGGGGTCGGCCTCCTGGAGGCCCTCCCAGGCCCTTACCGTCTGCTCGACGTCCTCGAAGACCTCCCGGGCCTCCTCGAAGGAGCAGCTCTCCTCCCTGCACTCCCTCTCGAGGTTCCCCTTCTTGAGCTCCTCCAGGAACGAGTTGGCCCTGCGGACGCGGTGCAGGAGGCCGTGCGCGCGGTCCCGGCTCAGGAACACTGCGGGAGGAGGGGGCGCGGGTGGAGGCGGCCGCCGTGGAGGAGCGCCGCCTGCCCCCGCGCCACCGTCCCCGCCACGCGGCTGCCCTCTGCCTGGCTCGCCCGGCGACCCTGCGCCCCCGTCCCCACCACGCCACTGCCCTCTGCCTGGCCCGGCTCTGAGTCAAGCGGGTGGGGAGTTGTGGTACTGTTTCCAGCACCGTGTACCCCTGAAAGCGTGATTTCTATCCACTCCCGGGACGCACAAAAACACAATTAAAGCAAAAGTTGCCAGAAGTAGTGCTTACACTACTTTCTAGAAAATACTACTTATTACAAAGTTTTCTACTTGATTCTGTTCTATTCCATTTTTGAAAACCCGCTATATTGATTTCATGAGTCACAAGTGAGTGGTGACCCACCAGCTAAATGTCCTGGATCAGAGCCTCTCTGGCCATCCCTGTGCATGAACCGACGCTGAGCTGGGCCGCCCCGCCGTCTTCCCTCTCTCATCCTCTCCTCCTCTCCTCTGGCAATAGGGAGGCCCTCGGATGCTTGTCTCGGCCCTCTGCCCTCCTCTCCTTTTCCCGCTGAAGAATGTGGAGGCTCCCCGTGATGTAGCTGACTCTCCAGCTCCGTGCTTCTGTTGCCAGCTTTCACCCTGAGCTCTGTCCCCAGCTCCCTCACCATCATGGCCGTCTCCCCTGTCTCAGCTCCGAACCCCCAGTCCCACACCGAAAACCAGCGCTGCGGGATCCAGCGTCTTCAGTTTCAAGTCCGCCTTGGTCACCTCCTACGTGACACTGGCAAGTGGGAATTCCCGTGCCTGCTTCCTAGGGTTGTTTTAAACAATGTACAACTTGTGGTGTTCACTTAGGTACACACTAGGCAGTAAAGATTAGCTTCATGCCTACCTCAAATGACTTTCCGAATTCTCTGTTTCTTTCAGTGACATGGATATTTTTCCGACAACACCAGGCTCAAACTTATTTGTGGGCCCCCCCACATTCCTTGGAACATCTGCTCCACTAACAAGTGCTTGCTTTGACATACAGCCCACACGTGGGTTTCCTGCCTCCCTCCTTCCACACGTGGGTCTCCCCTGTTGTTTTTCTCTCTCTCCTTCACCGTTCACCGCCTCCTCATCTCCCACACACCTGCATCCCCTCGTCTCTCCCAAGCGCTCCTGTCCTTCCTCTTGATCCAGGATGCAAATGAGCCTCAGGGTCTCCCCAGCCCCAGGGGTGCCTCCTCTCTGCTCTCTCCTCTGGCTCTGCTTCTCTCCTTTCTGGCCTCTTCTCTTTGGACAAGGCCTGGGGTCCTGGAAGGCCCAGAGGCCCCCATCTGTCCAGCCTCACATTGGGCAGCCCCTTCCCCTGGCCAAGCCAGCCTGGGGGTGGTGGCCCCAGCTCTCATTCTCTCCCCTGCCCTGGAAGCGCCTCTCTGCCTGTGACCCCCACCCAGCTCACTTTGGCAGTGGAGGGGGGCTTCTCTCTGTCTCTCCTCCCACCTCCCCCTTCTCTCCCTCTCCCTCTCTGTCTGTCTCTGTCTCTGTCTCTGTCCATGTTTCCTTCTGTCTTTGTGATCTCTGATCCACTGTCTGACTCTCCACCCACAGGGAGGCACACCTGGCCCTAAGCTGCCCTCGGCTGAAACTGCCAAGCCCAGCCGTCTCACACCAGCCTTCACGAGGGGACGGGCAGCCACTATCCACACTGCCGAGGTTCCAGGGCATCACTCTGACCCATCCCCACCCCAGGGACCACCTCTGCAGTCTGCAGGGTGGGGGCACTTACCGCTTCCTCCTGGCAGCAGGAGGCCTGCCAGGGAGGCACTGAGCAGGACGAGGCACAGTGGGCCCGCCATGTTGTAGCCAAGGACAGTGTCTCTGTCCCTGCTGTCACAGGTCTCCAGGGCAAGGTTCACTACCCTGGCTTGAGTCTGGCTGGTTGTCCTTCCACTTATCACAGCCTCCTGATTGGAGACTGGGCCTGTGGGGGTGGGGGGGTGGTCAGGGACAGGTGACCATGCCGGGGCATGGTCACCCTGGCCTGTGCAGTCCTGGGGAGGTCCTGGCTGAACCTCTTCCTCGTTAGTAACCGTATCCAGCAGGGCCTGCTGTGGGCATGGGAACTTTTTGTTCTGAGAGAACAGAACATTGTTTTAGAGTCTTCAGACATTTGTGTCTAGCTCTCATTTCATCCTTATAACCACAATAAAAGCTAAGTATCATTTCCCCATCTTTTCTCCAGAACAGAAGACTGAGGTTTAGAGTGAGCTGAAGGGTCAGTCAGGGCTGAGTGTGGTACATGTTGGCTTTGAACCCAGGACTCTCTGCCGCAGGGTCCTGCTTTCCCTCAGTCTGCACTGGTCGTGTTCACAGGCCTCTCTCTCCAGGTGGTATCAGGTGGCGCCCCACAAAAGGCCTCCATCACAGAGGGTCCTGGTGCCTGCGCTTTACCTGCATGTTGGGCTTGTGCCTCACCCAAAAGTTCAGGGGCTCTGGGAGGCAGAGGGTGTCTGTGACCCTTCTGTGCCACATGGCTCCTTGCGCAGAGGCTCTCACACATATTTCTGGGAGGAGTACTTCCTGCCCGGTGCACCTGGAGGGAACTGCTCTGCTGGGACCCCCAAGTGATCTGTGGACCACAGGAGAGCTTGGCCCGAAGTTGAGCGGGACTGTGTCGGGAGGAGCTGCTGGACCTGCCTCTCTCAGCCCCACGACAAAGCCATGGAGGCGCCTGCAGGCATGGGGCCCGGCTTCCCCGACAGCGGCTTCACCTTGCATACCCTACTGGGGCCTGGCTGGAGGGCAGGGGAAATGAGCCCTGAGACACCAGAGGCCTCATGGTGAAGCCCATCGCTCACTTACACGAGGCCCAGTCCAGGTCACTGGCGAGAGAAGGCAAGGGCTGCACGGTGCCCGGGGGTGGGGCCTGGGGGCTTCCTCCACCAGCCCCACCCCTGTCCTGTCCTGGGCCCCTTGTGCCGGGCCGGGAAGGATGGAGGACACTTGCTCAGTGCTCACCAGCTCTGCAGAATTCAAGAGTCTCCCCTGCCTGGCTCTCATCCCCGGGGAGGTCCCAGAACTAGGGCTGCATCTCCTCACGACAAATGACAGGCCCCAGGGAAGAGGAGTCGCCTCAGATCTGGGCCCTGAAAGCAGCTTGCCCCCTCCACGGGCAGCCTGGAGGGAGGAGGAGAGGTTTGCACACAGTAGGTGGACACCAGGTACCCGGCCACCCACCCAGCCAAAGCCTCCCCAGAGTGTCAGGCTTGGGGACACGGCCCCAAGCCCTCTGCTGATCGGGGTCTCTGCAGCTGGACTACAGGCTCAGGAAGATAAGGCCTGCGAACTGGCCAGCGAGGTCAGTGCTGGGCCAAGAGAGCCGAGGGCGGGGCCGGGGGGGAGACCGCACTGTACTCCAGGGTACCGAGCACCCTGACATGTTGTGTGCCATGATGGACCATCCGACACCATGTCCCTTGGATACGAGCCCGTTGTGTCTGTCTTGTTTGCTGCTCTGTCTCCAGCACCCAGAGGGGTGTCTAACACACAGTAGGTGCCCAGTAGTCACCAAGGGACCCAATGAATCAGTGATGTCCCAAAATGCTCCTGCTTGGGGCGCAAGGCCAGGGCTGGTCTTTCGCAGGGTGGTCACGGTGACACGCAGAGCCTGGTGCTTGGGGATGACCCGCAGTCGATGCCCTGGGTCTGTCTCACCTGGTCTCTTTGTGCTGCGATGCTGTCTCTGGGCACATCCAGCATGTGGGGGAGACAGGGTTCTGCATGAGCCCTTTCCTGGCCCCAGTGCCTGGTGGTCAGGATGATCTGAGATCCGCTCTCGGAGAGACGGAGATGATCTCTAATGGCGAGCGTGTCTGCACGTCAAGTCTGTTAGCCTTCAGGGATCATCCTGATGTCGCCCAGCACCCAGCTTACCGCAGCACTGTGACAGCTGGGGAAACTGAGGCATAGCCAGCGACCCACCCAGGACCCCGTTTAACCCCGTGTGGGTCTGAGGGCTCCCCCCTCCTCCCCTCTTCTTCCCAGGAAGAGGAGTCCAGCCAGCTTTCGTTTCCAGAAAGAAACAAGAGACTCGCTGGGCTCAGGGCCTCCAGAGACCTTGAGCATTTTGGCTGCAGAACTTCCCCTGAGTGCCTGGCAGCCTGAACCTTTGAGCTGGAGGACATCCAGACGTCTTCAAATCGGCTTTACCGTTCATGACGATGTGATCGAATCCTCCCTGGCGCCTCATTTTAGGAGCACTGGTTCCATCCTCATGACAAGCATCGAGGCGGGCTCCCATTTCATAGACGAGGAAACAAGCACAGAGAGGGTAGCGGCTCGGCCAAGAGTGAGAGGCAGGGCCACTCTGATGCAGGAGGTTTGGCTCAGTGTCTGGTCTCCCAATGCAGGCCCGATGGTGCGGTGGGATCCCTGATAGTCACAGCCTGAGCCGGGAGCAAACCTTCTCTGTAAAGACCCAGAGTGTGGACACGGTGGGTCTGCGGATCAGACGGTCTCTTTGGTCAGATGGTCTCTGTCCCAACTACTCAGCGCTGCGTGTTAAGCAGCCATGGATGATGCATGAAAGAGTAGGCATGTCCCAATAAAACTTTATTTACACAAATAGGTGGCCTGGACTCAGCCCCAACCGCAGCCTGTGGGTCCCTGGTCTGCTCCAAACTAAATATGGCTGACCATTCAGCAGAGTGAGCCCTGGCTGCCTAGCTCACAGGCATTAAGCACCGTGGGTATTCCAGGCACAGGCCAGGCCAGTCGCCGTCCCCCAGGTGTGTCCCAGGGGAGATGGGCACCCGCCAGGTTTTCTCCATCCACCTTCGCCAAGGTCAAGTGGGGCCCACTTTTGAATCCGATCCCCTCCCCTGGTCGTTTCCGTCCCAACCTGGGGCCTATGGGGCCCCACAGTTGCCCGTGGGACTTGATGAAAAGGTAACCCACTGGGTCCTCCCCTGGATCCTGATTCCCCAGGAGGGACTGGGGACCTGTGTTCCGTGGAGTGCCCCTGGTGGTCCTCAGGCCAGTGTTCCCCAGAGCTCTCTTTAGGGCCGTCATGGACTAGGGCCTTGGCAGGAAGAGAACACCCAATTCTGTAGGGTTTGGGAACTACAGCCTCCAAAATCCTTCAGAGAACTCTTGGTTTTAAAAACCAGGCTCCAAGTAAGAAAGTTCATGTCAGTGTGTCATTAATTGTGAAAGAAAAGAACAGCTCGGTGACAGACACCAGGGTCTCAAGGTTGTAAATTACAGACAATGCGCAAATGGCGGGCTGCCAGAGATAATGCTCTGAGGGGATCCGGCTGTTTGCTGTTAGTGGGGAGAAAGGGTGGCAGACGGTGTGTGGTGCGTGAGACCCTTCCATTCTATGGTAAAAAATACATATATGGAAAGATCTGGAAGGATATTCGCCAAAAGGAATGGATGATGCTTCCAATGTATCTGAAATCTTGAAATATTCGTATAAGAGAGAAAATAAGATGAAAGAAGACAGCCCTCAGAAAGCACATGCGTGTGAATACACCTGTCACGCCTCCGCCGCGTTGGCGTTGAGATGGAGCAGAGCTGTGCAGGCGTGCACGGCCACATCTCCAGACCACGGCAGTGCCTCCTGTCTCCCTCGTCCACTCTCCTGTGTCTGTCGTCTTTCTATTTCCCACTTGGTCTGTCTCCTGGAATCTCTGAGTCTCTTGCAGTCTCTCAGTCTCTCCGCATCCCTCATACTTCACTCTCCTTCTCTTGGGCTCTTCTCCTTGCCTGTCCCTCTGTCTCCCTTTCAGACCCCCGTCTCTCTCCCTCTCCCCTCCCCACCCCAAGATGCAGAAGAATTTACAGGACCTGATGCCAGGACAAGCCCAGCAGCAGCAGCTTTATTCCGAAGAGTGCATGCCCATGCTAGGGGAACGGGGCCCGGAAGAGGCCTTCTGAGTGTGGCTCTGAGCGCATGAGCCTGCGCAGCCACTCTATGTACTGCGAGACCCTGGTGTACACCCCAAAGTGGCCCACGGCTGCACAGCCCTCACCCCAACTGACGACGCCTGTCAGGTACCACGTGCCCTGGAACTTGGTGGCGTGCGGACCCCCACTGTCGCCCTTGCAGGCATCCTGTGTCCCATCCACGTAGCCAGCACAGAACATGTTCTCCGTTAATGCCGGGGAGCCCTCCATCCTGTGTGACTGCTCCAGACAGTCCTGGGTCCTCAGCCGGGGCACGTTGATGAGCATGAGCTCAAGGGCCGTGGCACCCCTGTGGAGGAGCTGGCCCCAGCCACTGACGGACGAGAAGCGGACTAAGGTCAGTGTCCTCTCGGAGAAGGCCTTCTCGGGCAGACAGAGGGGCACCACGTAGTCAGTGAAGGTCACGGGCCTGCGCAGGCGAAGCAGAGCCAGGTCGTGGTCCGTCTTGAGCCGGACGTACTTGTCGGGGACAATGATCTGAGCCACTTGCTGCTCCTGCTCATCGCCGTCCTCCTCGCTGAGGTCGTGCTCTCCTGCAGGGAGACCAGCACCACTCACAGTCCTTGCCCCACAGCCTTGGGAATGACCCTTCCTGGAGTCTCCTTTGGGGCAGGTGGGGCCCTGCATCCAGCCCCAAGGGGGCCTGAGCAGCCTCCCAAGTGGCTGCTGCTGGGCTCCGTGCAGGGTGTGACTCAGGGGTGACTCTGGAACCTGGGGCTGAAGGCACATGGGGGGGGGGTCAGGCCAGACAGCTGTGGGTGGGTGAGGAGGGGCTGCCCAATTCCCCCAGCTCTTCCAGATAGGGTCTGGACTCCCTTGGGGGTCCTTGTCCCATAAGCCCACAAGGCAGAGGCCCACCCGCAGTGGCCCCAGAGCCCTGCATGACTGCATCCCCCTCAGGGCCCAAGAGAGACAAAGCAGGTACAGCGTCACCCACCCCCCATGTCTTTATTTGGGATGGGAAAGAGGCTGAGGGACGATGGCACAGTGGGACCCCTTGGGCAGTGGGGTCTGCCCAGGCCCTGCCTGTTTCTCTGAAAAAGCTCATCTGGTTGTGGAAGTCAGCCGCTCGAGGCCCAAAGCTGAGCCCTGGGTCGTTGTCTTTGAAGAGCCTTCCTTGGTCAGGAGGAGGTGAGCACAGACTTACCCAGCACCACCGTCAGGTTCTTCCAGCTCCTGATTCTGTCGAAACAGTGGGCTGCAGAGACCACCCAGGTGGTGTCGAGCAGGGTGCCCCCGCACAGCAGCTCCCCGTTCATCTTCAGGAGAGCCTGTCAAGGGCACAAAACAGGTTGGAAGCTTGCATTATTGTCACTGCTTCCTTGGGGCCTCCCCTTTCCCGGGCACCCTCAGGGGCAGCTGGGTTTACAGGATGGTTTCTGAAATCCTGGGGGCTCCCAGAGCCCTTCCTTGGGAAAGCTGTTCTGAGGCCACTCCAGCAGGTGGCCACCCCACCACTGAGGGAAGGAAAGCCTCGGGTGCTGGCCTGATGATGGGAGTGTGGGTGCTGGACCCCTCTGTGCACCTCCCAGTGTTGTCACCCAAGTGTGACCCAACACGCCCGATTTGGAAAGGTCAGGCCAAGGCCGTGTTCCCGGAGCATGTGAGGAGCAAAGGAAATAACCGGTGAAGCACTGAGCCCAGTAGTCGGCACCCAGGGGACCCGCAGGGAATGCTTCCTTCTTTCTTCTTCCTAGAAGCAAAGAGGGTGCTGAGCGGGGCCCCGAGGGAATCTTGGGGGGAGATGTTTTCCCTGCAGTGATTCTCCTAGGATGAATGGGAAGGGAGCCCAAGTCTCTGGCCTGGCTGCCTGCGGACAGCCAGGCCAGAGGGCAGGCTGGCTGAGGGGGAGGCAGCCCAGCGGGTAAATGGTCCTGGTCCGGTTGTTGCTGGTCACCATGTGCTGTGCTGAGGTCAATCAACCAAGGAGAAGAGACTGGAAATGGGGTCAGCCAATCTGGGGCCCAATGTCCCGAGTTGTGGATAGCAGGATGAAGCAGCCCAGGGAGGCAAGTCTGAGCCCCTCAGAGAAGAAGCCACAGTAAAACCCCACGATAGAAAGAGCCTCCCGTGGATCAGAGCTGCAGCTGCTGCAGGTGAGGGCTGGACCAGGCACCCAGAAGGCTAACCCGGTCCTGGCTGATGGTGACTGTGGCTGCAGCTCTGAGGGGCAGGCTGGGCTGGGGTGGCTGTGACAACCCGGATCTGTGCCTCCCAGGACCAAGTCTCAGCTCCGACCTGAGCAAGGTGCTGAATCTCACTGGGCCTCAGTTTCCTCACCTGTAAAACGGGGTGAGAGTTGCACCCACCCCTTGGGCGGGGTCGTGGGGGTTAAGTGGCATTGAGACATGAGGTCTTGTGGGGCCAGGCCCAGGAAGCATGTGCTGGGAAGCAGTGTCTGCTGCAGTCATGCGCAGTGAGCCCAGCCAAGCATTCCCCGCCGTAAATGCAGAGACACCCACGTCTGCCAACCCACCTCAACCTCACAGAGGCTTTGCCAAACCATCTCGAGGACTCTGGTGAACACACAAGCCCCATTCGGACGTGTCTAGCTCAGATTATTCCTCTGAACACCAAAACCTGGGGTTCTGCAAAGCTGAGGAGTGCCCTGGACCTCGGAGGCCTATCCAGGCCCTGGCTGCTGTGGGAGGAGGGGCGGGGCGGGGGGAGGTGGGGTGCACGCAGGGCCGCCAGCTTAGCAAGAAATGCAACTTCCGAGGCTGGTCTAGAAGGGCCAGATGGATGGCAAACCAGAGGACCGGAGCTGCCCAGAGCCTGGAGTCAGCCCACGGTGACAGGTGACTTTCCAACTTCTCTTGAAAGTTCTTGTATATTTACTTTTATTTCTAAAAATCCCTCACTGTTTGACTTGGGGTGTCCCCAGATGAAGAGTTAAAGAGGAGCCACTGAGTCGGGCTCAGACCTGAGTTTGCGGCTCGAATCACATGTGGGTGCACCCCCCGGGCTCTTGTGAAATGCAGATTCTGGGCCAGGGGGTCTGGGGGCCTGAGACTTGGCATTTCCAACAGGGACTGGGCTCACAGCGACCTCACAGAGAGGCGGCCTGGAGGGGCCACGGCCCCACAGACCTGACTGCCTGTGGAGGGTTTTGTCATGGATCAAGAATCTCAGCTCCCAGAGGCAGGCAGTAGATGGAGCTGTGGAGGCGACGGAGCTGGGTTCAAATCCTGCGTCTGCCATTTAGTGCGTGTGTGGCCTCATCTGTAAGCGGGCATGCCCACGATGAGGTGGTGTGGGAGGGTTCGTGAGCTGACAGAGGTGCCATTGGAGCATGAAATCCCAGCTAAATGCAGATGTTGCTGCCTGCAGGCGACCGTGGACTTAGAATGAGGAGGAAATCCTGACTGCAACAGGGTGACTGGGGGCCGGGGTGTCCTGCGGCTGACCCGCCCTTTCCTCCCAGGCCCTGAAGCCTTACCTGCCAGGGACACTGCCCTTTGGGGCACACCTTGCCTCCCACAATTCGGCCTTGGGGTTTGGTGTCATTTCTTTTTTCCAGAACAGGTATTTTTCCACACGGGTATTCAACTGTACAAAACAAAAGTCAGCAAGCCATGCGGACTCACCCCGGACGAAGGTGCTGGTGAGCAGAGGGCCTGAGCCCTGCGGGCAGAGGCTCTGCCTCCGGCTCCTGCCCGGGGCTGTGGACGCCGCTGGTAGGCAGATGGGGCCGGGGCTGGCTTTGCAGGAGCAGAGGGCCTGACTTCTTGAAGCTGATAGTTTCTCCAGGGGAAAAAGATGTGCTGCTTGAATTTACTAATGGATGAAGGAGCTTCTGTCTAACGGCCAGCCAGCCTCTCGGACCGCTGCGCTGCCGCTTGACCGCACTCTCCGTGTTTGGTCTGCTCCAATAAAGTCTGGGCTGGGAGGGAAAGCGTCTAGAGGTGGCGACTGAGTTTGGGGCTCCTTAGAAGGCTGGGTACACCTCATCAGTGCGAAGAGAGACAGGGCTTGGGGTGCCCCAGCCTGTGCAACAGCAGCCCCGTTAATTTGAGGTTAGTTTGGAATAGTTTTCCATTTTCCTGAAAGTACTAGCCTTGAAAAAAGATTTGCAGTGCAGAGTTGTGCTGCCGTCAGTGCAGACCCTGTGTGGCATGAACTCCCAGCAGAGTCTAGGCGCTGGGAGTGGGGCCAGGAGAGCCTCCTCTGCTCCACTGGCCCCGCTAGAATGGGCAGGTGGCCGGAGGCCCAGCCAGGAAGCTGCTCCCAGGGCTCTGTCACTGCTCCCCACCCGCTGTTGTCCTGGCCTGCACTGAGGTGGGGGCGGCCACCTCCACCCTTGTGTCCTCCTGGCCTCGCTGCGTGGAGTGGTCAGCACAGAGCGATCCGCAGTGGGTGTGTGCCCCCCTTCTCATCTTTTGGCCAATAAGAGAATTTGTGGCAAGCAGGAACTGGGGACTAAAAGGAAACGGTATGTAGCCCCTGGAGCGTGGTGCCTGAGAACCCCTTACCTGTGGGCGTGCAGGACACCCCGTTGGCCTGGAGCGTGTACCCCTCGTGGCACCAGCAGGAGCGCCTGGCCCCTGCGTGGTCACTGCAGTATTGCTCACAGTCCCCGTTGTTGTTCATGCAGATCAGCTGGTCGTCCGTGTCTGAGGACAGAAGGGCACAGCCTGAGAGGGCCTCCACTGGTCAGGGAAAGCCAGCCCTGGTGGCCACCCCTCCCTGGGCCACGGGCAGAATTCTGCACAAAGACGGCCCTCAGCTGCTGGCTACAGAGACTGACCCCGACACCACCTCCCTCTGCAGATTGATCCAGAAGGGCAGGACCTGGACTTGGGGGGTCCCAGGCTAGACAGTGGGGATGCAGGGCGGGCATGCAGTGTCACCCTCCCAGGAGCTGAGGAGGGCTGGGGGAAAGCAAAAGTCCCCAGTGGACAACTCAACAGGACACCTGCCAGCGAGAGGCCAGAGGGATGAGACCGGTCTACAGCCAGGTCCTGGTGCCCCCGTGAGCTGGCCTGGGGCTGACCACTGGCTCGGACAGACAGAGACAAAAAACGTTTGATCTGGCTCTGAAGGAGAGCCCTTTGATGTGGGAAATGGGATTGGCTCTCTGTGTAAGTTCAGGACCCCCAGGGGGAAGGCCAGTCCTGGGGGTGAATTCATACCAGGGCTCCTGACCTTTAAAGGTCTTGAATGGTTCACACCAGAACTGCTAAGCATCAAAAATCCTGGGAGTGAATTCACACCAGGGATGCTGAGCATCAAAGGCCAGGCAAAGACACTGAGGTTTTTTTGCCCCAGAACTCTCAGGAAGCATCTCCTTAGTTTTTGCTTCACTTTTTCTGGTCTCTGTTCTGCTTAGAGCAGAAGGCAGCTGTGGCCCGGAAGAGCTCATTCTGTATTGCAATGAACTTTTGTGTAATAAAGGATTAACCTTGCCCAAAGAGATGCCTGCCTTTGTTTTCAGCTCCCGGGAGGTGAGCTCTACACCCTCTCTGGTTAAGTTGGAACTTTTAATTTAATCTGCCTGATAACAGCTTGTTTCCCTGGGGGCCTTGGGCCACACAGTATCAGCTCCCCCTCTGGAGGGGCTGGATACTGAGGTCAGCCGTGTGGGTGGTCAGCCATGTCTATGTGACTGAGCCCCAATAAAACCTCTGGACAGCGAGGCTCAGGGGCGCTTCCTAGATTGGTAATACTCTGTACATCTTGTCACTTGTCATCTAAGACATCAGTCTTAGAAAATGAAAAGCTGTGCATGTGACTCCCATGGGAGAGGACAGCTGGAAGCTGGCATCTGGTTCCTTTGCTGGCTTTAATCTCCATCCTTTAGCTGTGGTCAACTGTAACTGGAGCATATCAGCCTTCAGTGAGCTCTGTGAGTCCTTCTGGCAGATCATTGAACCTGAGGATGCTCTGGGGGGACCCCTGAACTTTGTGGTACTTTAATATTTGGAAGGTGAAAAAAGACCACATACTTTTGTGACAGCAAGTAGGGAAGGTAGTCTACCCCAGTGTGCTGGCTGGTGGGACACGAGCAAGCTGGGCAGTGTTGGAGGGACTCACCTGGGCCCCCACCAGGTGCCTCAGAATTTCCCAGTGCTGGAAGCCCAAGGGTTTTTATATTTCCCAGAAAGAGACAGGGGCAATCAGGTTTGAGCATTAGCACCTGAGAACCCCAGATCCAGGACCCTCAGGTTGGCAGGAGTCTTCCAGCTCATCTAGAACAGCTTCCTATGGGGCCGAGGCCCAGCCCCGTGCCCAGCCAGGCCCTGCCCATCAGCCTCCCGGGGCCCTGTCTGCAAGCTCTGGGGTTCCTCACTTGTCTCACAGTTCCGGCCCTCAAAACCGTCGAGGCAGAAGCAGATGTAGGACTGGAGCTGGTCCTCGCAGGAACCTCCGTTCTGGCACGGATTTGAGGCGCACTGGTCCCCGTCTGTGGAGTGAGTCAGTGTTAGCGTGCTGAGGAGGACGGCTGGCGGGCGGAATCAAAACGGACTGCTCATCTGCTCACCTGTGTAGGAAAGCCAGAACTGCTTCTGAGGGAACAAAGAGAAGCACGTGAGACATGTTCTCCAGAGCAAATACTTATGGTCCCTGGGAGGAACTGACGACCTGGCAGGCGGTGCAGGCGGGAGCTTCTCACCTGGGGCCTGTGTGATGGGCTCCGGAAGCCAGACTTTTCCTCTGGAGATGAGGTGGATTCGAGTAGGGGAGGAAGTTTTTCCTCATCCCTGCCTCCCCCACCTCCCCTACCTGGATCTCTACGGCCACCAAGGTCACAGATTTCCCATTCCCAAGTCAGAACGCTCGAGTTTCAGCCCCAATTCTGCCACCTCCAGCTGTGGACCCAGACGAGACACACGTTCTGAGCCTCCATTCCCTCCTCTGATGGCAGGGTGACCATCCAGACACACGGGCTGACAAGAGGAGACGGTCGGTGACGCACGCAAAGGCATTCCAGGAAGTGAGAGGGGCTCCCTCAGTAAAACTGACTCCTGAGGAGTCCGTGGACCGCCTGGATAGAGCTCACAGGGTTGCTGTGAGAACAGAAGATGCGAACTCTTGCAAACGCTTTGAGAACCACGTGGTCCGCAGACACACAGATGACCATACTCAGTGTACCTGGAAAGGGTTGTGTTAGCCTCTGTCTCAGAGAGCCCTGTGCCCTGTGAGTGTGTGTCCTGTGAGTGTGATACATGTGTCCTGAGTGTGACACGTGTCCTGTGAGTGTAATGTGTGCCCTGTGAGTGTGTGTCCTGTGAGTGTGAGGTGAGGTGTCCTGTGAGTGTGATGTGTGCCATGAGTGTGTCCTGTGAGTGTGAGGTGAGGTGTCCTGTGAATGTGACATGTGTCCTGTGAGTGTAACGTGTGCCCTGTGAGTGTGTGTCCTGTGTGAGGTGAGGTGTCCTGTGAGTGTGAGGTGAGGCATCCTGTGAGTGTGATGTGTGCCCTGTGAGTGTGTGTCCTATGAGTGTGAGGTGAGGCATCCTGTGAGTGTGACATGTGCTTTGTGAGTGTGTGTCCTGTGAGTGTGACATGTGTATCCTCTGAGCGTGCCGTGTGGTCTTGTCTCATCATAGCCTGACTCATGGTCAGTCATTTGGTGACCTTTTGGTGCTACCATTTGGATGTGCGTCTTTCAGAGTGAAAACAGAAACACGGACCCTCGACTGCGTGGCCGACGGGTGTTGGAGGCAGCGGTGGTTTCCTGGAGGTCTCCCCACATGAGCTTCCCCGAGGAGGGCCCCAGGTGGCACGGCAGCGAGGGGCTCTCCAGGCCAGCTTCTCAGACGTCTGCTGGCTGCAGCACCTCCATGACACACAGGCGGCTTAGGGGTGGGAGCCTTCCTTGGGAAGCCAAAGGACACACTGAGCATAATTCTCAAGCTATATTTTCGGATGCAAAAATTAGGATGCATGGTGTGGCGGAGAGGAGGATGTCCCTGGAAACAGGATGGTGTACAGCACTGCAGCTCTGACTGAGGGAAGCGAAGTCATCCTTAGAAGGGAAAGAGACCAGACGAGGACGGGCTGTGCAAACTGGAGCCCCCGTGTGTTTCCCTGCGCATGGAGCGCTCACAACCACGGAGGGGAGAGACGTGGCCCCCAAGACACAGGAGCCACCCCAGCCGTCACGTAGCTCCATTCCTGGACTCAGCACACAGGGCATCCCCTGGGGGTGGACTCACCGTCCTCTCGGTGTCCTTGAAGATCTCCCGGGCCTCCTCAAAGGAGCACTGCTCCTCCTTGCACTCCCGTTCCAGGGAGCCGGGCTTCAGCTCCTCCAGGAACCAGTTAGCACGCCTTTGCCTGTGCAAGATGCTGTGGGCTTCCTCCTGGGTGATGAAGACTGAGAAGTGGGAGCCCGTGAACATTCACAACCTGCCACGCTGAGACGGTGCGGAAACCAGCCACACTGGTCAGTCCCACTCAGTGCTGGGAACCAGCCACACTGGTCAGTCCCACTCAGTGCTGGGAACCGTCCACACTGGTCAGTCCCACTCAGTGCTGGGAACCAGCCACACTGGTCAGTCCCACTCAGTGCTGGGAACCATCTACAATGGTCAGTCCCACTCAGTGCTGGGAACCAGCCACACTGGTCAGTCCCACTCAGTGCTGGGAACCGTCCACACTGGTCAGTCCCACTCAGTGCTGGGAACCAGACTGGTCAGTCCCACTCAGTGCTGGGAACCATCTACACTGGTCAGTCCCACTCAGTGCTGGGAACCAGCCACACTGGTCAGTCCCACTCAGTGCTGGGAACCATCCACACTGGTCAGTCCCACTCAGTGCTGGGAACCGTCCACACTGGTCAGTCCCACTCAGTGCTGGGAACCAGCCACACTGGTCAGTCCCACTCAGTGCTGGGAACCAGACTGGTCAGTCCCACTCAGTGCTGGGAACCATCTACACTGGTCAGTCCCACTCAGTGCTGGGAACCAGCCACACTGGTCAGTCCCACTCAGTGCTGGGAACCGTCCACACTGGTCAGTCCCACTCAGTGCTGGGAACCATCTACACTGGTCAGTCCCACTCAGTGCTGGGAACCAGCCACACTGGTCAGTCCCACTCAGTGCTGGGAACCGTCCACACTGGTCAGTCCCACTCAGTGCTGGGAACCGTCCACACTGGTCAGTCCCACTCAGTGCTGGGAACCGTCCACACTGGTCAGTCCCACTCAGTGCTGGGAACCATCCACACTGGTCTGTCTCACTCAGTGCTGGGAACTGTCCACACTGGTCTGTCCCATTCAGTGCTGGGAACCGTCCACACTGGTCTAGTCCCAGTCAGTAATGGGAGTCAATGGTTCCTGTCCGTGGGCCTGGCTGAAGTTGGAATGGGAGTGCTTCCTCATGGCGGGCTGGCGACGATCAGCATGCACAGCCTTTAGGGACAAGGACAAGGCAACATGTTCACTGAGTGATAACGACGCGCTCACGCTTCGGGCCTGGGCCCTTCACTTCTAGGGGTTGATCCTGCAGACACACTCAGACGTTTGCACGGAAACCTCACCCTCAGGAGAGCTATTGATAATAATAATCTGAAACAGACCAAGACTGGTGTCCTGTGCTACCATGACATAGAAGGATCAAGAAGATGTGATTGTGGGGCCGGCTCCGTGGCCAAGTGGTTAAGGTTGCACGCTCTGCTTCAGCGGCCCAGGGTTTCCCCCGTTTGAAACCTGGGCGCGGACATGGCACCACTCATCAAGCCACGCTGAGGTGGCATCCCACATGCCACAACTAGAAGGACCCACAACTAGAATATACAACTATGTACCGGGGGCTTAGGGAGAAAAATAAAATCTTTAAAAAAAAGATGTGATATTAAGTGAAAAAAGATAAAACCACATATACATTATAATTCCTTTCTCGTAAATAAAAATGTGAACATGTGTGAAAAATGAACATATGTATGTAAATGTCATTTATTGAAAGAATACACATAAAAAACTAACTTTGAGGATTGAAAGTTATTCTGTTCTAAAATGTGTACAATCAACACATGTAACTTCTATAATCAAAATGTGCATCTGCTGCCTCCCAGCACCAAAGGTGGTGCAACCTTGAACCTTCCATCTGGAGCGTTGAGTGAACGCCCTGGAGGGCTCACATGGCGGGGGGTGGGGGGTCCTACAGGATGTGCATTGAGCAAGGCTGAGCAGGTCAGGCAGCAGGGAGAGGCTGGGCGTGGGCGGGGGTGAGGTGTGGTGGGGAAAGCCCGAGGGTGGCAGGCTGGGGAGGGGTGGACATTGCTCTTCTCCACTCCCACTCACTGCATGCAGGGCCCGTTGTTCACAGGTCTTCTGGAACCCGAGTTCCTTCCCAACGTGGTTGGTTCTTTCCTCCTACCAACCCACCCAAACCCTTGCTCGGCTTTGCCGCCAACCTCCCTCTCTCCCTTTAAGACCACACTCTGGAAGGAACATTCCTTACCCTCCACCGAGGTTCTTACAGTGACTCTTAGACCCATTGTAAACAAAAGCCCCCCCGAATCCCTGCTTTGGAATTCCACAGGCTCCTCAGAGAAGTTTCTGGGTGGCAGGACACCTGCTGACCACCGTCTGCGTCTGGACACTCCCTCCCCTGGCCGCCGAGGTCTGGGCTCCTCCGGGCCCTCCTTCCTCCCAGCCTCCTTCCTGGCCTCCATTGCTGCCTGTCATGGAGTTTGGTATCCTTCAGGTTTTGGCCTTTCTACTCTAGAGACTCTCGCCCCACTTCCAGCTTCAGCTCTCTCTCCTTACCCAAACATCTTATCTTTGGCTGGAACTATCTCTGAATCCCAGCTCTCTTACCCAGCTTCCCCGCAGACTGAGAACCCTCACTCAGCCCTCCATGTGGGTTGGCCTTCCTCCCCCACCCCGGTGCCCGTCCACGTCCCCCATCCGGGCCTCGAACCCCGTTTCTCCCAGGCATCTGCCCTCTTGCAGCCAGCTCTGGATCTGCTGCCTTCGCGCATCTGCCTCTCTTCTCCGAAACCCTGCGACACTGCCTTAGCTCAAGAGCTGTGCCTCCCCCGGGCCCCTTCCCGAGCGCCTGCCCGGTGCCACGAAGAGCAGAGCACCTCTGTGCCTCCTCCTGGCCTCTCACAGTGACCACAATAGTTGCCTGCAGGTAGCTGGTGTTCCCATTTTACTTATGAGGAAGGGAGGTGGGTGAGGCGAGAGCTTACCCAAGGCCACCCGGGGGGGGTGGGGTAACAGGACCAGTTGGAACACCTTGAAGTGAGGGTTCTTTCAGACACCCAGGCAGACATGGGGACCGCACCCTGGGAGGGGGCTTGGTGACAGAGGCGAGGATGTTGAGGTTGGGGACAATTGTGCAGAAGCTGACGTCAGGGTGGGGACGAGGCCAGGAGCCCCGGAGCCCGGTGTGGTCACACTGTGTGCCACGCACTCTGAGGGGTGTGCTGTGGGCACCCCAAGAGGGAAGCAGTGTGCGTGTGGGGTGAGAAGACGGAGGTGGGAACAAAGCTGTGTCGAGGGGCAGAAGCCAAGTGTGGAAACTGAGTCCCAGAGAAGAGACGAGTGTAGATGGAGAGCAGAGGACCATGCCATGTCCGTCCTCCATCAGAAGCTGCTGGTGTGTGAGCAAGGGGACGTCCGGGACAGGCAGGAAGGTTACGGAGTGGGGGTGGGGGCAGGAAGGGGGGTGTGGTGGCTCCCGGCCTCCCGTGCTGAGGGAGGCCTCATCTTTTCCCCTTTAGAACTCCAGAGTTTCACATGTCTGTATTCCTGGGGAATGGATCTGGTTTAGAAGGAGAGGCTGAGGGAAAATCAAAGAGTGGAGGCTCCCGAGAGGGGAGGTGGCCACGGAGCCCAGGTGGGGTGGACCTGAGACAGGAGACCACGGCCGGGCCACAGCTGGCCAGAAAAGAATCATCTGCCCTTGGAGGAGAGCACTTTCACACCAAAAGCTCTTAGGGAAACAGAGGCAACTCCCATGATAGAGGGAAACACGATTATGGCGGGGAACTTGGGAAAGACAGACCAGGACGAGGAAGACGGTGAAAATGACTCGCAGCCCGCTGCTCTTCCCTGCCCTGAAGAGCACAACGGTGGCCCTGACTTTCTCTAGACAGGCTCTGGGCGCCCGTGGTCACCAGGGCAGCGACACCATCATGCAGACCCCAGGCTACTTTCTCACTGTGGGATGTGGAGGACGATGTGAACCGGATTTTAGAGGACAGTGTCTGCACCCTGTTTCCACCACGGCCGCACCCGGTACTGGAGTCACGACAAGGACAGCTTATGAAGCGCCCCCTGTTCCCTCTCAGCCTCCCAGCGCCTGCAAGGGGAGGGGAGGGTGGCCGCCATCAGGTGGTGGAGTGGCCCAGTGTCCCCTCGCTGTCCCTGGCTCTGGCCAGTGGAGAGCTGGGAGCACAGAGAGAGAGGGCAGCATCCCCCACCCCCGCGCCCTGAGCCCCAGAGTCTGCGCGTGGGCCCAGCTGCCTGGCTGGGTCCCCACTGGTGCCCCGGAAAGTGCCGCCGGCTCCCAAAAGTCTTTGAAAAATAATTCTGCCAAAGCCTGCACCGTCAGCAGCAGGCTTCCCACCAGCGCTCGGCATGGGCCTGGGGACTGTTTGCTTTTGGAAGGAAAGCAGATCACACGGGAGCCGCCAGCAAAGCCTCCGTGGACAGGAATGTCCACACGAGGGAAGGTCTGGCTGCCCACAGCCTGCTGCCCTTGCACGGGGCTGACAGGGAACCGTCCCCCCGACATACCTGCAGCCAGAGACCCCTGCAGGCAGAGCAGAAGGCAGAGGAGGGCCAGCCCCCGGGGCTGGGACAGCATGGTGAGGGCTGTGGTGTCACTCCGTCTGGTGACATTCCAGGTCGGGGAGGCGGGCAAAGTTCTCGGCCTCGAGGTGCGTGCGAGAGAGGGATGGGGGAGGGAGGCCTCGCCTCCCAGACACACCGGTGTTAATTCCCTGCCAGGTGCCCGGCTGGAGGGGGGACCAGGACAGGAGGGCGGGCCTTCGCCCGGGAGGCCAGGTCCAGGAGCCCAGGCATAGAGCAGCCACGTCTGTCCCTCTCTGAAACATCCGTGTTGGACGTGCATCCGGTGTGTGCACCCAACTCAGATGGGAATCCCGAAGCCTTTAGGACTTCCGGCGGCAAGGTGGGAACAAAATTAAACTGCAGGTAAGAAGCCATGTCCTTGGGGATAACACTGGTGAAGGGAGAGCATATTTGGGTGAGGAAGGTAAGAATTTTGAAGGTAGCCCCAGAGGAGACCATATGGGACGTTCCCACCGGGGCGCCTGGTTTCTGAGATGAGCCAGGGAGCCCCTCGGAGACGAACCGGGAAGGCCCGGGCATCTCACATGGGCGTGCAGCTCCAGCGGGCCTGGGCTCGACCCTGTGGACATGAACCTCCTTTCAGCGAAGGGGTGGGAACTGGGGACCCCAGCTGTGCTCACTTCTCTTCTGAGCAGGAGTGACGTGGCCCCTGTTTCTGTCAGCATCCGCCCTGCCCCCTAAATGGAGGAATTAGTCCTTAGAGGGGAACGTCTGATTGATCACCTCCGGAATTTCTAATTGTTACTATGGATAATTGCTTAAGTGTTTAGGAATTTAATCATATTGGAATTTATCATGGAGGACGGAGGGGCAGGAGGGACTTCACGGCTGACGGCTCCTCCGAGTCACAGCCCCTCTGGCCGCATCTCCGCCCTTGGCCTTCCACAGCAGCACGAGGTCAGACGGACCTGGCTCTGTTTTCTCCTAGCCTGGGGAATGAGTGGTTCATTCTTTCGAGCCTCAGGTTTTTAATTGGTGCAACGGGGCTGCCACTGCCTCTGGGAGAGTGGTGGTGCTGTTCCGTCCTTTCCGGCCCCACAAATGCCACTTGCTCCTGCCTGGCAGATGCTGTGTGTGGGCTGAGTGCTCAGGGCACGTTTCCTCCCCCCAGGAGCCTGTCTCCTCGGCCTGTGCTCTGCATTCACTGGGCTCCTTGTGTGTTCGGCTCGTGGGGCTGTCATGACAAAGTCCTGCGTCCTGGGAGGCTCACAACCACAGGAATGTTCCCCTCCCAACTTAACCAGCTACACCTGTGATGACCCTGCTCCAGGTGACCTCAACTTAACCAGCTACACCTGTGATGACCCTACCCCAGCGTGACCTCAACTTAACCAGCTACACCTGTGATGACCCTACTCCAGCGTGACCTCAACTCAACCAGTTACACCTGTAATAATCCTACTTCCAAGCAACGTCACATTCTGGGGTTCCAGGTGGACGTGACTCTTGGGGTGCATGGCCCCCCAGCACGACCTGCCTGTTCCAGAGTGCTGAGTGAACGGGCTGGGCTTCCTGTGCTCAGCGTAATGCACCTGAGATTTGTCTAAGGTGTTGCAGATCTAAAATGATCTTTCAGAAACGTGGATCTGATTGTGCAACTCCCCGGTAAGTCCCTCCAACGTGCTTGTGTTGTGTGTAGGATGAAGCCAGGTGCCTGATCCTGGCCCGCAGGCCCACGCTCCAGCCTCTTCCTACTCGCTCCCCTAACTGGACACCTTCCTGCTACGGGGGTCTTTGCATGGTGCTTTGATTTCCAGCTCCTCCCACAGCTGGAGGGGGATGACTCCTTCTCGTCACCCCTTCACGGCAGGTCCCCCGCACCGGTCTGCCAGCCCCATTTGTTTGCTCCCTGGAACGGTTGGCCTGCTGACAGCCGGCTGCTTATTTGCTGACCTGTGTCCACCGAGCAGAGTCCCTGCTGAGGCACAAACAGGAAGTGGTTTTTCTCCAGTCACTGCCTTCCAAGGCCTCTGAACCCCCTGCTTGGCCCTCGACAACATTTCGAGGAGACCTCCTAACTCTTCTGGTCACCCCCAACTTTGAAACGGCTGCTCCGTCTGGAACAAAGCCCACAGCTCATGTCCGACTCGGATGTGAGCCCTCCTGGCTGTGCAGGGCTGGCTGTGGGGAGGACGGCAGAGGAGAGGAGTCTGCGCCCGGACTCCCTTCCTCTTTGGGGCCCCGGGTCAGAGATCCTCAGTTCTTCCTGGGCGTCTGTCGGCACGGCCCAGGAAATGCAGGAAAACAGGAGAGGGCACCGTGCGAGAGTCAGGTTCTCAGGGTGGGGCTGCCTGTGCTCGGCTGCCCCAGCGGCCAGGCAGGAGGGCTCCTGACGTGTCCTCCTTGGGCCACCTGCCGGCTGGCCTCCCTGTGGCCGGGGTCCAGCCTGATCCTCGAGAATACGAGGGTAGGAGTTCCTCCCGGACCCGGAGGGAGGCCTGCACCCTGCTCCACTCCCTGAAGGGGACCCCTGCTTGGCACCGCTCCACGCTTGTCCCTTGGCGTGGGGCTCAGGGCCGGCCTCCCCCAGGACACTCAGGGACGACCATGAAACTAGCCCACCCCGGCCACCCCTCATCAGTAAGCGGCTGCGTCAGAATCACCTGGAGTGCCACGCGCATACCACACACACATACCACGCCTGCAGCCCTCCACGCGGGCACCTGAGTCCCAGGGGCCCTGGAGCAGCATGTGACCAGCACCCGGTGGCCCTGCTGTGCTGTCACGTTTGGGGACTGCTGTGTATACTGCTGATACTTTTTAGCTTAAGGAACAGAGAACTTATCTAAGGATTACAGGTTATGATTCTGAGCATAACTTACCTTCTCTTCTGGGCCTTTGTCTTTTTACATTTATTCATGGGGCTTTGGGTGTACAGAAACTTATCATTTCGTACACTCAGATTTACCCGTCTTTTCCTTTAAGTATAGGCCTTTTTTCTTTCGTCTTTTATAAGAAACCTATCCTTGCCCTAAGGTAATAGGATGTGCTATAGTTTCTTCTAATAATTTTGAACTTCTAAAAAATTTTGGGAGAGACCTAATTTGACTGTTTTTCACATGGAGAGCCAGCTGTCCCAGCAATGGGAACATTTCTGACGAGGCCACTCTCTACCCGCCAGCTGGTCTCAGCACCTGTGTGACACCGAGTCACCGTGTGCACACGCCTGTTGGGGAATCCTGATTCTGATCAGCTCCTCAGCTCGAACCCGGCCCTGTCTGGACACGTGCAGCTTTATGACCAGTCAGTTCCCACTGGGGTGAGCCCTCCTTGTCCTCCCACGCCCCGAGCATCACCGCCACACCTGGACCTTTATTCTTCCAAATACATTTTGCCATCAATTCCCTAATTCCACAAAGAACTCTGCTGGGGTTTCGATGGAAGTACATTAAATGGTCAGATTAATTTGGGGAGGAACTACAATTAACATTTTGGTGACACTGAATGGTCCCAGCCATAAAAATCTCTCCATTTATTCAGGCCTTCTTGTATGACCTTCTGTAATGTTTCATAATTTTGTCTACAAACTTTGTTACATTTATTTGTAGTATTTTACCATTTGATTGTTATTAAAATAGCATTTACCAAGTAGTTCTTGCCAGGAATGTTAGTGACTTTTTGTGGTTGATCTTGGGGACTCCTATTAGTATCAAGAACTTGTGAATTCTCCAGATTTCCTAGACATGAAAATTTATTTTCCCATCTATAGGCCTTGTTTCCTTTTCCTTTGATGCTGTTATCACAAATACTTCCAGTAAATACTTCTGAATAGCAGAGGACATCCTTGTGTTGTTTCGTCTTCAATGGGGAAGAGTTCTAAAGTATTTAGAGACCTAAACGTTTTGCTCTGAGGATTGTTAGATACATTTTATTACGTTAAAAAATTTTTTTCTACTCTTAGTTGGCTAAACACTATAAATGAATGTTGAATAAAAATTGAATTTTTTCCCGGCATCTATTGAGCTGGTCATTCTGCCCCTTTCACTTATTATTATGGTAAATTATAGCAATAATTTCCTGATGTTGAACTATCCTTGAATTCCTGGGACAAACTTACTTGGTCAGAACATATCACTTTTGGTTATAACACACAATTGGATTTTATTTGATTATACTTTATTTGGAATTTTTGTTTTTACGTTCAAAATTATTTCACATATCAGGTTAAATTCACATCATAAAATTTGTTGAGTTGCTTTCCCTGTTTTTATATTCCTTGAATAGTTCGTATAGATATTTTTGTACAGGATCTTCACCTTACAGGTATGGCTAACCCTATAAATCCATCTGAGTCTGCTATCTGCTTGGGGCGAATTTTTTTTAAACTGCATTTTAACTTGTTTTCATCCACCCAAGTAGTTTACTTCATCAATTTTAACAATTTGTTTCTTTAAAGAAAATTCCTATTTTATCTGTTCTCAAATGTATTGGCAAAAGTCGTTCATAATGGTTCTTTCATTGTCAAACCTCTGTCTGCTGTGAAGTTCTTGGTATTTCTATAAATTGCTGCATGTTATTAGATCTTTCAAGGAACAAGGTTTTGATTTGGTTGATTTGTTTTGATTTTATTCTCTTCTATTATACTAATTCTTTCCTTATACTTTCTTTGGGTTGGATTGGTCTTATTTTCTAGCTTCTTTAAAGGGTTAGCTCATTTATTTAGTCAAGCAAAAAATTAAATGCAGCCGGGCTGTACATACTGATCTAAGCTTCAGCTGCACCACCAGCTCTGAGATGCGTACTTCTGGCCAGTCCCAAATATATCAGAATTCCCAACATCATTTCCTTTCTAAGCCACGCGTTAGGAACATGCTTTTAAATTTCTAAATTCTCTCTTAGCTGCCTTTTTCATTGTTTTGTATTTTGTATGTTGGAAAATAATGCATATTTTTCTGTTTCTAGAGATGAGGGAGTATCAATTTCTGTGAGAGATAACTAAAATCTCAGCCACGATTGCCGATACCTGCTCTGCACTTTGAGCGTCATTGTTTGATGCTTACAAGTTGGTGGTGAGGGTCCCGAGTTCCACTTCGTGTGTGGTCACTCTTGCTGTCCCAGCTTCCTTTTGGTCAGTGTTTGTCTGTTACATCTTCTTTCTCTCTTTTGTTTTCAACCTTTGTGCACTTTCGTCCTATGGGCTCTTTTCGTAGTTATTTGTTACACCCCATTTGAGTCTCTCAATAGGTCAGTTTAACACCTTCCCTTTGTTGTGACAGAGAAACGTTTACACGAGCTCTCCCAGCACACTTTGTTTTCTGTTCCTCGTGCGTCCCCTGCACACCCTCCCCTTCTATCAGATGGACACCTTTGTCTGTCCCCCGCTTGCTGGTGTAGAAGTCGTCAACTCTACTCTTATTCTGACGTGGACATCTTCCATTTCTTTCGTTACCTTTACATTGTGACACACACAGGCTTCTTGTCATTTTAGCTTCATCATTTTCTGAGGAGATAAAGCCTATGGAACATTCTCTGGGCCACGCTCACCACCTGCCTCGCTCTGTTTTAACATGTGCTTGCCGTACTGAGTGTGCACGAGCAAATAAAACGCCGCGGTGCTGGGAACCGAGGACAAAAGGGATTCTGTGCCTTTGCAGACGAAGGCAGACAGCAAGTGCGGCTGATGTTTATTCAAACTCCATCCATACAATAAAGAACTCTCACTTTTAAATTTCATTTACATCAGCAGTAAAAAAAAAAAAAAGGGACAGTGGCTGAAACACGAGGTTTAAAGTGCCTTTTATGAAGAAGAGATCACAAAAACTGGCGGGTCATCCCAGGCTGAGATGGCAGGAACGGAGTCTGAACAATCAACGTATCAGTTAATTATGTGACACATCCATTTGTAAATAACTTATACACCAGGAGAACAGCTGCCGAGTCTCGCACGTTTTCTGCTTTATTACCCACTCCAGAGAGGTCTGGCTTGCGGTGGCCTTGCAGGTGGCGGGGGAGGAGGCCTGTGGGCCCTGCTGCAGAGGGCCCGGGGCTCAGGGAAGGCTGTAAAGTGACACATTTCCAGCAGCAGGGAGCCTGTAAATACACCCTTCACATCGATACATATGTACACACGTCAACATATATACACACAGGTAAAAACAGCGGCCTCAACCAGACACGCAAAGTTTCTGAAGAACAGAATTCGTTTCTGAAACACAAAAACAGGTGAAACAGAAGGGTTTTCTTTCCAGTTCTGCCTTGATCTGAATAAAATAAACTCTGCACCTTTAAATTCCTGTTTTCAGGGTGATTGTACACAGACACATAGGCGGCCTGATGGTGCGCAGGAGGTGGCGGTTGGCGCTCGGGTGACAGCATGGTTCAGACGACACCCTGCAGAAACTGCATCTTTACATATTCTTTAAAAACAATAAAAATATCCCAATCCAGTGAAGCTAGTTTAAAAAAATCAAGAGTTCCCCATTTTTTTCTTTTTGTAGAAAAGAAGGTTACTATTTTAAATTATAGTTCAAGTTTTCTTTAAAAAATTAACCTACAAGGTAAAGGAATCTGCTTGGTTTCCAACTGCTCATCTGTAGAAACGCTGCCTGATCCTACTGGGGACGTGTTCTCATCCCCCTGTGACCAGGTGGCTGTGGAACGTGCACCGTTCCCGCGAAGTCCCCGAACCAGCCGCAGTATAAACAATGGGCTGCAGTGTGAACCCCCAGTAACAAAAAAATAGTTTTATATCAAATACAGTATCAAATTGTCATTTCATGTAAACACAGTGATTCTTGGTAAAGATTAGAGACCAACGTACCACGAAAAATGGCCGTGGGATTAATCCCTGCTTTAAAAAGAAACTCGTAAAAGACACAATAGCCCCCACCCCTCTCTCCTCCAGCTGTTGGGTCAGTGAAATGGTCATTGCTTTTGGGAGCAGTCCCAAAGGACACGCATCCCTGCAGAAAGCACCAGACCAGAGACGCCGGAAACAAAGCAGCGTGGCTGGGACGGGCTCCCCCGCCGCCTGGCAGAGGCCGGTCGGATGTCCCTGCCTCGCGTCTTCTGCACTGGTGGTCTGTTGGCCCGCGGCTCCCCCATCCATTCCAGACTTTCCCAGGAAGCTCGGTGGACGGGTCTTCCTCTGGAAACTGGCTTCTGCGCCCTGGGATGGGGTCCTGGCGTGGGGGCTGGAGGGCAGAGTCTTCCTGAACCTTCCCTCTGAACGCCCGTGTCCTGCACTGAGAGGTCCCGTGGCAGCGGGTGGCTCCTCGCTGGGGTCTTGGCAGGGTCCTCCTTTCCAGGGCGTCTTAGAGCACCGCCCCTCACCAAACTAAGCAAGCCCAAGCAAAGGAAAACTTAGAGGTTCGCAGGCGGTGTCCTGCGCCGGCCGGCGGCGCTACCCCTGCAGGTCTGAGAGGGGGACCCCGCAGCTCTCACTGCAGCTGGAGGAGCTGCTCAGCAGGGTGGACCCTGCGCTGGACTCTGCAGGAAAAGCAGCGAGAAGGGCTTCGGCTTCGCACGTGCACACACAGCCCCTTCCATCTGGATGGACTGAGGCTGGAGCCCGGGGCTCAGGGCCGGCCGGCGGGGATGGGGGTCTTACCTGAGCTGCTCAAGCACTGAGCTGAGCTGGACTTGCCGAGGCGCGCGGACAGGCTGCCGGCCGGCACCCAGCCCTCCTTGCTGGAGGTCAGGTTCCTGACATACCTGGAGGGGGAGGGCGGTCAGGGCTCCGGCCCACCGGCCAGCATGGCTTGACATGAGCACGTCGCGCATCTTACCAGAGGCAGTCCTCGCCCTCCTGGACCACCTCCACCAGGTCCCCGCTCCTCATGACCAGCGTGTCAGGACTGCCCTTCTCGTCATCCGCCACAACTGTGAACCTCCCCGGGACCTGGGGGGTGCACAGTGCATCAGGCACCCCCTGCTCCCCCAGCATGGGAGCCACCCACCGTCCACCATGGCAAGGTCCCAGGACAGCGGGCCTCGAGCGTCCATCGCAGGATGACGAGGGCGCTGCCTCTATGGGCTGCTGACGCGACTGTCGCCTCCAACTGGGCAGGAATCCTGGTCGTTAGGTCTCCCTGTGACCGTGCTAAGACCTAACCAGACTACGGAGCGCCCTCAGCCCGGCCTGTGGTCAGGCCTCGCTCCGTTGCCCCTGCTCCTGCTAATCTCCAACACTCCACGCACAGCCCTCGCCAGCCTTCCACCTGCCCCGTCCTGGGCCTCCCTCCTGGAATGCACCATCCTCACCCAACACGTCACGTATTCAACTACTTCTGGCTTTTCCCCCCCTATGAGAGTGGAGCGTCTCATCCACTCCCTTCCTGCCTGGTCTGCAGGGCCTCCTACAGCGCGGATGCTCAGTGCCTTGTGTGCTGGAGTGCGGACCCCAGAGGACGGAGCCGTTCTGACAGAGTGAGCGGAACTCAAGGTCACGGGGCGGGAAGACACCAGGTGGCGGAGCCGTGTGATGTGGCTGTGGGGCTCCAGGGTTTGGAAGCCGGGAGAGTAAGGGCGAGAGTCCTTCACTCTCATCTCAGCACGACCCTGCACTGGCCCCTGATGGCCCTGAGCCACCAAGGCCACATCCTCCTGCTACGCTGAGAGCAGACTCCTCCCAGCGGGGCCTGCCCAGTCTCCCAGAGCCTGCCGCCTGCTCCGCGCCCCCTGCCTACCGGCCTGTTTCCCCGGCTTGGCCCCCCGAGGCCTGGGCTCCCTGTGACCCTCTGTGCCCCCATGTCTGGCTCTCCTTATCCTCAGGCCTCCTGGGGAAAGGCTGCCCTGACCACGCCGAGATCCTCCTCTGCTCCCACCGTTTGCCTGCGTCTGCCCCTCCAGACGCTGGGGTTCTCGTGTGCCGTGACAACCCTGGTGCCAGAACCAGGGCAGCACCGAGTGCGCTGTGAGCGTGTGCCGGTACCGTCCCGACTCTGGGGAAGTAATGCGTGAACAGTGCTGTTCATATTAAAACAGGGCCTGGTTTAGAGTGCAAATCCATACCTAGAACACTGCGGTTCTCTTAAAAAGGGAAACCAAGGCGTGGGCACAGCTTCGAGGAAGCTGTAAGAACGTTTTACGCATCTGAAGGGCAGCCAGGGCGTGCGTGTCCCCTGGAGGAGAGCCCCCATAGGCGCGGCGGGCTGATGGTGGGGAACCAGCCTCAGAGGACCCTGCGTCCAACCGTCCCTCCCAGCGGCACCTTGTGGAGCTGCCGGGCTCCCTCCCCGGGGACCAGCGCGCCAGGCCGCCTGCCTGCGGGCCGGGTTACCAGCTTCCTGGGGCCCACTCCGCCTTCTTCCTCTGCGTCCGAGGAATTAAGGGGCTCCTCAGCACTCGACCAGCCGTCGTTGTCCTCAGGGGCCTCGGAGGGCTGAGACGTTTTGCTCCAACCTGAGAGAAAAACAGGCTCCAGTGAGGACCACCCTCGCTGACAGGCCTACCCAGGGTGGTCTAGGGAAGGCCCGAGACCCCTGCACTGTGCCACCCTCAATGGGCCTTCCCCTCCCCAGGAGCTCGACAGCTTTGCAGGACACACCGCAGACTCCCAAAACGCCTGTGCAAACCGTCCAGGGGGACGGGGAGCAGAGCACCCGCTTCCATCGACAGGGCAGCCCAGGGGAGAGAAAGGAACCCAGCGTCCAGGCGGCTTATCCAGCAGGCTCTGTCGCTTCCCGCTTCCCGGAGGAGGAGAAGCACTCCTCTCAGGCCACTGCCTGCTAGTCCCGGGGAGCACAGAGACCCTGAGAGACAACTAGCCCGAAACCCTCCCCCCCCATCTGTGTGGAGCAAATGCATCGAAGGGATGGCGTTATCAATTAACGCATTGAACACAGGACACCAGCCAGACCGAGATGGAAGGGGCTTGTGGAGAGTGCCTGCGCAGGCACGGTCCTAGCGCTTACTGCGGGCACGGCCCCGCAATCCTCACAGGACAGAAGCTGACGGCGCACTCATGCCAGTTGCTGTCTGAGCTCCGGACCTCGAGGCACAGCTGGGATGCCAGCCCAGCCGCGTACGCAAGCAAGGACCCCTCCACTGCCAGCAAGGAGGGGAAGAAAGCTTTATCCTGGACTTCATAAAATATACATGTATTCCTCCATCTACTGCCAGGGACCCCAAAGAGTAGCAAGTTATTTCGCATTTTGGGGGAGAAGGCAGGTAAGCTGCGGGGAGATGGGAGATGACGAGCTCCTGATTCTAATCAATATGATAAACACCAGTAATAAGGTAACGGGCTGAAGCTGCCTCCCTCAGAGTCAGCCCACAGCCACCACACGTGTCACACGGATTTCGACAAGAAGCACGTGGGATGGGAAGCAAGCAGGCTGCTCAGGGGTGTGGGCATGGGCACATCAGCTGCAGCCACACGGGGTGCGGCTGGAGGCACGCTTTCTCTCGAGAAGACAGCGCTGGGCGTGAAGACCGCGGCGAGAAAGTGCCAGATGCTCCCCCGTTAGCAAGTGGGGGGCTGCAGGGAGCACGCTGCCTAACAGGCCAGTTCCCAAGGCCAGTCATTTTTGAGGTTGGGAGAGAAAAGCTTGTGTTAAAGAGGCACGAGGAAGCCATCTTCGTCTTCACAGAAAGGGAGCTGGGCCCAGAGCACCCCATCAGCCGGCGGGGCTCTGAGCCGCGTGAAGGCAGCCTGTCCTCAGGGCCACAGAGGCCGGCAGCCCCCCGAGCTCCCACTGCACAACCAGGCCAGGTCCAGCGGCCGGGAGGGCCTCCGGGCTCTGCCTTCCTGGGGCTGCGCCACTGGGTCTCGAGGAGGGGGCTGAGCACAGCCTGCTCACATCACCACCGGGCTGCGTCTGTGCCGGAACTGGGGACTCTCAACTTCCAGTTTCAAACCACCCAACCTTGCCTGCTTCAGGCCTGTCTGGAGTTGTTGCACGTACAGCATGGGGCACCAAGACGGAGCACTGGCCAGGGACGCTGAGGGTCCCTGTGCCACGTGGCCTGGCTGCAAGCATCTTCTCCCCTCCAGCCTACCACCCACAGACATGAGGCTTCTGGAGGAAAAGAGGCGTGAGTGTGAGGACAGTGGGGACAGAGAGATGAAGACTGTTCTGAGCGCAGAGAAGGCAGTGCTGCCCGGCCCGCAGGCCTGGGTAACCCTTGGCTGCAGAGAGCAGGTGGCCACGCCTGTGATGTGGGGGACTGGACAGACCGCCCTTTGGCGCCCGCGGAGAAAAGGTCTTCGAGACGCAGAGCAGCGTCTGGGCCTGTGGCTGCTCACGGCTGCCCAGAGCCTCTGGGTGACCGCTTGTTAACGGGCTCAAGTAGTGCCCTGTGTTAAACGGTGTGATGGGGGGTAAGTGGGAGAAGGAGACCTGGCTGTGCCCGAGGCACCACGTGCAGAACAACGAGACGTTCAGAAGCCTCACGACACAGACGGGACAGCATCGCTCTCCATCTATGTGGAAGTTGGGGACTTTGCCAGGAGGACATTAGGCCAACGTGACTGAATATGGTCACCTCTGTTTCCTTCAGAATAGTCACCGATGCTGATACTGAGTAAAACAATGGGCGGATGAAGCTTTTCGGGAAGCAAGCATTTAAACGTTCACAAGAGTGCAGCCAGGAAGACCTGTAGCTCATCGTTGCCTGCTGTAGACTGAAATGACCGAGGAGAAGGAGGAGGAAGAGGCGAAGGAGGAGGAAGAGTAGGGGGAGGAGGCGGAGGCGGAGGAGGCTGGCGCTGAGCCCCAGGCTCTAGGCTTAGACATCTACTGCGACCCTCAGGCTGCCTCATCTTCATTCCACAGACGAGATGAGCTTGCACAGGTAACACGACTCGCCCAGAGGTGGCAGAAGCAGCACCAGAGCCACCCGGGGCCTGGCACAAGCCCGGACTCACGAGACACCACGCCTGCCTGCTACCCAGGGGAAGACAGCGGGGAGATGCCCCAGGCGTGTCTGGGTCCTCAGAGAGAAAGCAGAACGGAATAAAGCGCCCACCCCGGGAGGCCATCAGCAGGAAACAACTCTTCTCCCAGCACAGGAGGGGCTGCCATGCGAAGGCTGCGGGAGAGGGTTGCAAGCTCGGCCTCAGAGTGCAGTCTGAGGCCAGAGTCAGCTGCGGTGGCCCCTGGGTGGTCTCTGGGGGTGTGTGTGGGGATGCCGGTTCAGCTACACCCTGTGGGAACCTTCTCAACTGTTTGGAAAACTCAGTAAGACTCACAAAGTGAAACCCTCTCTATGAAGTTGAGACCCTCCACCTGAGCAGGAGCGTCTCTGGGTTTCCCTGAGGTGGGTGGTGGGGCTTTGCCCTCGGAATACGAGGGGCAAGAAAGGAGAAGGCCTGAGTTCCAGGAAGGAGCTACACTCCAACTGTCTGTATGACCCCCAGGAGATCAGGGGTCGGATGGGACCCTGCAGCTGCCATGTTCTGTGTCTCCACCGAGAAGCGTCGGGACAAACTGGGGAAGTGGAGGGCTGCTGCTGCAGGGGCCCCTGGACAGGGATGGCTGCAGCCTACACAGTGCTGGGTAACGAAGTCCAACCAAGCCAGACGCCGGCCAGGGGTGGCCACTGGGCAGTCCTGTGGCTGCTGGGCAGACCTGGCATGAGGAGGTCACTGAGAAGGGTGACGTCATCACAGTGTCACCAGAGCATCAGGCTTTTGAAGGAAACAGTGAATTTGCTCCCGGCTGGCAGAGACTATTTCCCTGTGCAGCTTAGACGACGTGTCACAGCAGGACAGACAGCGTCCCTAACCAGACAGGTAAACGGATGTCAGGTGGGTGAACAGAAGGTCAGCCACTCTACCTCGTAAACCAAAAGGCGTGGGGTCGCTCTTTACTTCGTGCCGTTTAGCTTTTTTGTCAGGACTGGTGGGAGAAGCTGCAGAAGGAGGAAGAGGCACAAACAGAACAGGAGAGAGAGAGTGAGGAATTGCATGCAGAGCGCCGGGGAGCCGTGAGGAAGAGTTCATGCTGGGATGGGACTCAAGCATCCGATGGGCAATTTCCACTGATTCAAAAAGTGGCTTCCTGGGAACAAAACTCTGCTGGCCGAGGGACCGCACGGTGAGAGAGGCCCAGGGGAGTCCGAGGAGAGGAGACCGGTGTGCGGCCGGCAGGCCATCGTGTGATCACTGTGGGGGCTGCCTCTGGTGCGCTTTCTGAGCTCTGCGTTGACTATGCGTAGCGTGCACACTTTCCATACTCAGCAATGTCGACAGCACCAGAATTTGTTCTCCCTTTCTTTTTTTGCAAAAAGTTTGAGGCCAACTTAAAAGTATTGTAAAACTGGGAAAAAAAACCTCTCCAACTTTGGACCAAGGAGAAGTACCCTAGGTAACACCGGCTTCTAGCATCTAGTGGGGGTCCTGTAAGACCCGCCTGAACTTCAGGGCCTGCTTCACGCCCTGCCTCAGCGTACTTCCCTGCCATGTAGTTCATCACCCAGGAGCGCCCAGAGGCGGTCGAGCTTTCAGGATCTCCATCCAAGAGGCCTTTACCCGCGCCGTGCACCAGCAGAGGCCTCTAGAAGGCAGGGGACACCAGCACGTCAGCCCTCGGGCAGAAGGGAGTAACTGCAGCCAGGAAGGCCAATGCCTGGAGGGGCCTGACCTGAGGAACGACCGGTGGTGGAGTTGGACCAAAAAGCAATGGCGAGTCCAGCTTCCGGGCAAGGCTCCTTCAGAAAAGCCCTGTGCACCTTTCCAAGAAAAGGCCCCAGAAGAGAGCTTGGCCACGTGGTGACAGACATCAGCATCAGCACAACCGTGACTCAGTGGAAGAACGCTGAACGCTGCCCCTGCGACGCAGCAGGCAGACGCCCCAAGACCATCCGCACGAATGACCACACACGAATGGATGACAGACACGCCACACGGCGAGGGACACGGTGCCCTTTACCTTTCTGACCTTTGAGGTTAGCAAAACCCTGCAGGGTAAAGCGCTTTTTGGAAAGTGCAGAGCTTTCTGAGGTAGAGTTAGTGACCGTGTCATCTACAAAGGAAGAGAGAGGGGCCGCGTTGGGGCGTCCACATCCTGGGTGCCTCTGGGAGGGCTCACGTCGGGCCACACCAGCTGGTCTCTGGGGCTGGGGCGCCCCCGAGCATGAGGAAGAGCATTGCTCTGGGAGATCCCAGTGCTCCACACATGGGGGGCCGGGACCCCTGAACTCTCAGAGGCCCCTTCCTGCGAGAGGAGGCTGTGTCCCTGCCTCACCCGCCAATGGCACCCACGGGGTGGCCCCGGTCCTGCCAGGCTTGGTCGCACACACACCCACCTCTGCCCTTCTCGGGGGCCTTTGGCAGCGATGTCGAGCTCACGTATCCTTCCAGGCTGAGGGGGTCGGTCTTCCTTTCTTCCAGCTTTTTGACGTTTCTTGTGTTCCCTTTCGAGGGACTAATGGCATCAGACACATCAAAAGAGAAATAGGATGCCATCTGGTTAGTTTTCCAAAACGCTCCCTGAGGATTTGAGGTGGCCAGGCCTCCTGAATTCCCACCAGTCCTCAAAGCAGCGTGTCCCGCCGCTGCAGGGGGCCCGCACTTCCGGACGGAGCCCGAAGGGAGCCAAACTGGGCCAAACCCCCTTCCGAGCTATTAGGTAGGAGGCCGGCTTTTGGTGGGCGGGGAGGGGAGTCTTTCTCTTTTAAAACTGTTGTTCTGTGGATTATTTACTTAGACCATATCCCATTCGTGAGTGAGTACATGTGCTTACATAAGAACCAGGAACAATATGGGAAAAAACCAAGTAAACGAACAAAATAACAAAAAAAAGCAAGGGCCGTGAGGGAAGGATGAGGCCAGTGTGCGGGCGGCCTCTGACCGTGGGTGCGAGGGGTGGCCTCCGTCGCGGCTCTCAGCCCCTGCACCCCCGGCCCTGACTGAGGCACCACCATCACCGACATGCTGGCGGTTAACCGTTCTCTGGGACAGCGGAAAACGGGGAAAACCCACAGATGGACACACTGGCGGGTTGTCAGGACTGGTGTTTGCTGGGGCGCCAGGCCAGACGCTTGTCCTTGAAGCTGACCCGCTGGGCCTGACCCAGGGCTGTGGGCAACGTCAAGTCACCCCAACACTGGGAGACTCAGGGGACAGGGCCCAGGAAACTCGGTGACTGTGCCACTGCCCACCGTCTGGCCTCCTGATGTGTGGGGCCCGGTGCCCGCTTACCTTGCGCTGGCCGTTGCAGGCAGAGGCAGGCTCTGGGACTGCTCCAGTACGCGGTGCTGGCTGGCTTCTGCGAGGAGGGGACAAACGAGACCCAGCACGGCTGGAGCGCTGAACCGAGCATGGCAGCCAATAGCTTAGGGCTCTGTGGCTGCTTGGAGCGTATGAACAGCGCCCGGAGCAAAAGCGGAGAGAAAACCGTGGCCGAAGACGTCCTTACCTCTGAAGGCCTGCAGCTGGCTGGTCAGCAGCTTCCGGATTTCGCTCACCCACGCCGCTTTGATTTCGGGAGTTGGTGCCTACCCCGCAAGAGAAACGCCAGGAGGTGAGCAGCCTCGCTCCCTGCAGACTCACGCTTCGGCGTTTCACTCTCGGAACCTCCGAGGACAATCTCAGGAATTGAAGACGAGAGCATGCGGGTGGGAAAGGAGAGGAATAAACGGCCAGAGGTCCCCTTGCCTGGGACGCCCCCCACAGCAAGGGCGGGATGGAAGGGGCCCTGTGGGCGGTGCCGGGCGCCCAGGGCCCTGCCACACAGCCAAGGCTGACCACCAGGCAAGTATCCTTGTGCAAGTGTGGACATCTGACTCAGTGGGAAACCATGGGGTGTGAACTGTGCCCTGAGAAGTAGCCCTGACATTGTGTTAGGTGACAAGGATGGTGGGAGCCTGAAGTCTCGCAGAACTCTAAGCTTCTAGGGCAAGGGAGACGAAAAGGAGCGTGAGCCACCACCAGGGCTGCTGCCCTGCCTCGGTCGGTGCCCGGGCCTGAGGGCAGTGCCAGCTGGGCAGTTTGGCTCTGCAGATGCTGAGACTGTGGACAGCCAGGGGCCGCCACCATCTCTGGCGGTTCCCAGGAGCTTGCGCCCACATCCTCACTTTGGCTCTGGGTGGCCCGTGGGCCTGGCGGTGCTGACGTGGGTGTTGTGAGTGGTAGACGACTAAGTCCCATGTGTCGCGGACTCCACGCTGCCGTGGCCACGGCGTCCCTGCGGGGTTGCCACGTAGCACTGGGCCTGACCCACTGAGTGTGTCAGCACTTTGAAGGGCAACCAGGACAGGCACAGCCCCGGTGTGGGCTGACCCCTTCCCAGGGCACCTGGGGTCTTGCACAGGCTCCCAGATGCACTTACAGCTCCACCCACCTCCTGCTCTCCCCAGCACGGTGAGGACGGCTGAGGGCTGGCACACACGCCCCCAGAGAACCCGGTCGTGTGTGTAAGCGTGGCACAGGCCAGCCGTGCTCCCCTGTGCCGTCCAGCTGCACAGGGGCCGGGGCGACGGGAGCCCAGCCCACCTTCCTGTGGTGCACCTGGAGCTCCCCTGACTTGCAGTCTCCCGGGGCGTCATCCTGGGTCCAGCTCAGGTTAGACGGCCCAGGGCAGCGCCCCCACATGAAGAGTGGTGCTCCTGTCTCCCAGTGATCAAGCTTCCCGGAAGATTCTAGACACCAGCTCTCACTAGACGCCTTTCACTGGTGATCCTCAGGGCTCGCCGCGTCCCTGGTGGCGGCCCGAGAGACGCGGCTCACCTGTATGATGTAAACCTCCTCCCGGGCGTTGTACCAGATCTCAAACTTCCTCACGTCGCCCTTCACGTTCTCTGTTATGCCAACCGCCGCCATCTGACAGTGGAAATGGGGAGACAGGCGTCAGTGTGCAGGGTAAGAGCTCTCCACCTGCCTCTAGAGTTGATGCATGGGTGAGACGATGGAAGAAGTTTTGGGGTGGGGACCAAGGACGTCCAAGATCCCTGACTTCCACCATAACAGAAAACGTGTGTGCCAGAGAGTGAGAATAGCGGCCAAGACTCAGTCAGAGCCTGCCACAGGCTAACAGTTCCCCTAACAAGGGCAGCGCCAGGGAGGTCCCAGCTGCTGGACCGGCCTTACTCACATTCACCGACAGCCTGCAGTTGTAGCACCCGCCTTACTCACGTTGAGGGACAGCCTGTAGCTGTGGGACCCCCTTACTCACGTTGAGGGACAGCCTGTAGCTGTGGGACCCCTTACTCACGTTCAGGGACAGCCTGTAGCTGTGGGACCCCCTTACTCACGTTGAGGGACAGCCTGTAGCTGTGGGACCCCTCACTCACGTTCAGGGACAGCCTGTAGCTCGTAGGACCCCTCACTCACGTTCAGGGACAGCCTGTAGCTGTGGGACCCCTCACTCACGTTCAGGGACAGCCTGTAGCTGTAGGACCCCTCACTCACGTTCAGGGACTGCCTGTAGCTGGAGGCCCCTCACTCACGTTCAGGGACTGCTTGTAGCTGTAGGAAGGCGCTTTCTCGTAGCCCTCCCCGTTCTCCCCCCTCACTCACGTTCAGGGACTGCTTGTAGCTGTAGGACCCCCCTCACTCACATTCAGGGACTGCCTGTAGCTGGACCCCCCTCACTCACGTTCAGGGACTGCTTGTAGCTGTAGGAAGGCGCTTTCTCATAGCCCTCCCCGTTCTCCTCTCTCTTCTTGCAGAAGAGCACCGCCTTCTCGTGCAGGAACAGGTGCCGCTGCATGGGCTTGAACCTGGCCAGGTCCTTCACCTTGCTGTGGCCCTTCTTGTGGTCCGTCCAGACGCTGAAGGAGCCCTGCATGAGCAGCTTCCCCAGGTCGCTCAGATTCCCCTGAAACATGTGGGGGCAGGAGGTCACTAAACCCAGAGCCAGGTGGGCGCCTTGCTGCACGTTGCTGAGTGAGAGGAGCCCCTCTGGGAGGCTGCACGTGTGGGTTCCAGGTGTGTGACCTTCTGGGAAAGAAAACTATGGAGACAGTGAAAGATCAGCTTCCCAGGGCTGGGAGGAGGGGGCATGAACAGGTGGAGCAGAGGATTTTGGGGCCGTGAAACCACCCTGTACGATACTGTAGTGATGGACGCACGTCATAACACATTCGTCCAAAACCACAGAACGTCCGGCACCAAGTCAGCCCTGATGAACATCGTGCACTCTGGGTGACGGTGACGCGTCCATGGAGGTTCACCGGTTGTGACAAATGCACCATCTGGTGAGGACGCTGACGGTGGGGGAGGCTGTGGGGGCAGGAGGTGCATGGGAAATCCTTGTTTCCCACAATTTTGCTGTGAACCTAAAACTGCTCTAAAAATAAGGCCTAGTAATGAAAAGAAAGCGAGAGTGAGTGTTGAATGGACTTGTAGAGAGAGAAATAAAATTAATAAGTTGACCGAAATCTGACTTCTCGTGTCACATGTCACCAGCCCACAAGCGGCATAAGAGAAAACAGACTCCCGCCTGCTCCTGAGGGACGCCGACCGCAGGAAAAGGGCAGGAGTGGAGAGGGCTGCAGAGCTGCGTCTGCCCTGAGAGGCCCCCACGCAGGCTGCGGCCCGGGAGTTTGTGTCTCAGGGCCACCTGACCCCGAGTCACACGAGGTTTAACTGGATTCGGGTGACGCATGCAGTGGAAGCTCCAGGACACAGCTCTGCCCAGCGACGGCCAGCCGCAGCCCACCGCCCGTCAGCTTCCCGCGGCCCTTACGTCATAGCCCGTGATGGCGATGAGGTGCATGGAGTCGTTCACGGCCTTGAGGATGCCCAGGATGGAGCTCAGCGCCTCCTGCAAGTCCTCGGCCCCCTCACAGCTCTTGCTGTATTTCAGCATTTCCTGGGGGAGAGGAGAACCAGGCCCCACTCACACACCCGTCCCGTCCGGACACTAGATGCTGACGCTCCCTCGAGAGCTGCTGGAGTGCCCGTGCTCTGTCCTGGAAGCAGAGGCCCCCGGCGGCCCCAACACAGACCCTTCGAGACGCAGTCACCACAGCACACATGCATGCGGACAGCCACCCTCCCCAGGTGGCAGGCTTGCTAGGGCCACTGGCTTTGGAGCAGCTCGGGAAGCCGCCCTCCCATCTCCCTATAGCTCCACTCCACACCACTCCCAATAGCCTGGCTGGATGCTGCTGGTCGGGACGACCCCTGAGCCGGACACTCAGCCAAGCTGGGCAAGTGCAGGCCCCTCCCAGTGCCTCCCCAGGGTGAGCACCCCGCAGGGGGCTCACGTCTTCCTATCTGCTACTGTAAACCTCCTACTCTTTCCTTTCAAATATGACACCCAAATAAACATCCGACTGTCAAAGGCACGCTCGCCGCGTCCATTCACACGCTCACTCCAGCCTAGCAGAGCTGCCTCTGCTGGGCCCACAAGGACAGCTGGATATAGACCGGGCTTTGCTGGGAAGAAGCGTATGGCACACAGCCCAGTGCATGTGGAGAGCCCTCACAGGGTGGGGTTTGCCCGTCTGTTCACCTCTGTGTCGCCAGCCCCGCGGCCATGGCCAGCGCACAGCAGGCCCTCCACAAAGGGCTGTGAAGAACCAGGACTCTCATAGAGATGGGAAGAAGGCAGCTCAGGGATGGCCGGGGCAGCCGCAGACAGACAGGCGGGTGGTGGCAGGGAGGGGCGGCCGCCAGGCTGGGTGCAGGGCCTGCGGGGTCTCACCTTGAGCAGCAGCTGGTACTTGGTGATCCTCTGGACTGGCTTCAGCAGGTAGGAGTCCAGGCTCAGCTTGTGGTCCAGCTTCTTCTGGCATTCCTGCACGCCCCAAAACCTCTGGGTTAGACGGTTCTCAGAGCTCTGGGTTTGGGAGCCTGCCACTAAAGGAAACGCCACTCGAAAGATCCCGGACGCACCTGGAAGAAGGGGCAGTCGGCGCACTGCCGCCACACGCTCTCGGAACGCGGCTTGTTCTGACAGTACTTCTCGTACATCTGGAACTCCTCCAGCTGTCCCGGGACACAGACGGCCATCTCAGCGCCCGGGGGCAGGTGCCACTCCCGCGCCACACCCTCTGGACGCCCACTGCTCCCAGAGGGGTCCCGGGGCCTTGGAACCCCCCATCACAGGCTGTCCTGGGTGAGGGGCCTCTCCGCTGCACGGACTCCCTCAGAGGCTGTTTTTCCAAATGGAACTTCCTGAGTCTTCTCTGGCAGTTTTGCACATTACACAGCTTATTCTCTGAGTCAGACCTGAGCCCCGGGTGTGAGATGCAACCGCCCCAGGGCAGCCCGGGGGCACAGACGGCTCTGGGGCTCCTTCAGCTGGAGCCGGCACACAGCTGTCGGCCAAGAGGCAGAGGCGAGCACAGAGCAGTGGTGCTGAGACGCCTCCTGCTTGCTGAGAGCCCTGCACCTCGGTCTGGCTGCTGACGACCTGTGCCCAGTGTCAGCCTCCCGCACAAACCCCAACCAAATGTGGAGCAAAGTGGCCTGGAATCAAGGACGCACGACACCTGCCCCAGGTCCCCTGCCCCTGTGGGGCCAATCCCGGCTCTCCCCCTCCATTTCAGACGCACGCCCCTCGCAGTGGGGCAGCCAGGTGACAGCGCCCCCAGAAGCTCCCTTCTCAGGGCTGCCTTGGTCCTGACACCGCTTCTGTACACATTAGCTCAGGACAGCTGGCTTTGCCACAGGACTAACAGACTAAAAATAAACGTAGGACCAACACAGACTTTCTAAAGAATCCCCAGAGCTCAGTGTACACGGTGGTGCTCAAACTTGCACGGGCAGGAGAATCGCCCGTAGGCTCGTTTCAACTCAGAACCCCTGGAGGTCCTGGCGTGGCAGGTCTGGGGTGGGACGTTAGAATGTGCGTTTCTGAAAAGATCCCAGGAGGTGCTCATCCTGCCGGCCAGGACCCGACGTTGAGCCGCTGGCCTGCAGTGTGACGGCCCGGCTCCAGTTCTCAAACAGCTCTGAGAAGCGCTGCCAACGGCCAGGCCGACTGGAAACACAAATATCGCTCCCCTTTTCCTCCCTTCTGCCTCCTGACGCCAATTCATCGTAGCGAGTTGCAGCCTCTGGCTTGAGACTTAGTTTCACTGCTGTTAGGAAGCTGCATTTTCCCTACTGCTAAGCTAGCAGTCGGTGGAGATCAGCATAACAAGATCTCGTGGGCCTGTGCGGAGAAGACAGCGGCCCCTGTACCCCGCAGCCCCTCCTCCTCTGAAAACTTCCCCACCAACCCCCCAGCTCGGCTGATCGCCCTGCTCTGGAAGGAGGCAGACATTTACTATTTCAAGGAGAAAAAAATAAGGCTCAGAAAGCGTGAACGACTTGTCCAAGGTCAGCTGGGAAGGGAGGGCGTCTTAACCAGGGCAGGACCAGCACAGAACAAAACACCAGCACGAAAGCACTCAGCTTCACCCAAACTTGCCATCAACACTCAGATGCTTCACAATTCTAGCATTTCTCAAAGCTTACGTTTGACAGTTTTTCTCTTTTTTGAACTAGTTATTGGGCTTTAGAAAAAAATCGCATTCTTTTGGCCCTACCATAAAGTATCACGTCATCTCAGCCAAGCTGGAAACGTGTACTTTGTGACTTCAGCTGGTCAGAGGGGATGGCAATAGGATTTAAAGTCACTATGATTTTAAGTAGTAACTGTAAGAAACAAGGCACAGCAAGGTGCACGTTTACACAAATACATACCCTTTCTAGAAAACACCTTCCGACCAGCTCTGGGCAGTCTATGTAGTTTTCTAGCTCCCTCAGGAATATTCTAGACAAAGGAAGTTTGCATTAGGTTGTACGATGGACAACATGAATAAGACGGCATCTGTAACAAATTAACAGGCATCATTTTCCAGATGACTCTCCATCCTAACTCTGGACGGTGCAGGAGGTGTCGTGTGCAGGAACGCGCCCTCTGATTTCGGGAACCTGCAGCCCACAGCTGTCACTCTCAGGGTCCCCCCTGCACCAAACTCTCAGGGTTAAGCCAACGCGACCCCCTTGCGGGTTCCTTTACGTTTCTGGCGTCAGTGCTCACGCAGAGGTTGGGGAGCCCCTTTTTGCTGGCAGACATGGGACAGAGGCCACAGGCAGACAGACAGAAGCATCTAGAGGCTCTGAAAGTCCAGCCCCCATACCTGTGTGCTTGTGTAACAGGGCTCTTGGCTCTGCCCCTGGGACCCTCCCTGAGGTAGCACCGCCCTGGGCCCTGGGCCGAGTCTTCCTCTGTTTGTTTCTATCAGGGTAAGTCCCATCGGGAGGGGGAGCTCCCTGGGGATCAGGTCAGGACATAGTACTGCAGTGTGGAGCCGCCAGGGGCCCAGCACCTGAGGACTGACTGAGACCCCAGGCCGGGGTCAAGGACACTGATGGGCTGGGCCACCTGCTCATTTTAGTTCCCAAGGGAAGGCCCTGGGTGGGGTCGGCTGCCTCCTTTATAGAAGGGCGGGTGGGAGATGCTAATGACAGAGGAGCCAAAGCATGTGGTCAGACAGAGCGCCCCAAGTGTCCCCTGAGGGCCGGGGGAGGGTGGGGCCCAGTCCTGGCCCCGGCTGCACTGCCAGGGGAGAGGGAGGGTTCGCTCACAGCTGCTCTGTGTCTGTCTGCTTCCCTCTGCACTCCAGTCTCCCAACTCACAGCCTTTCCCACCAGCTCCCGCAAACTGGGACGAGGCACCAGGGTGAGCAGCTCCAGAAGGACCACCCGCACTTGCCCCAAAGCCACGGAGAGGCCTCAGAGTGCTCTCACGAGGGGAGAGCAGGAGGAAAGGAGCCCCCAGTGTTGTCGTCTTTTTCCACAAGCTTGGGAACAAAATGGGTTCTGCTCGGGGTGTGGCCTTCAGTGTCGCCCCAAAGTGCCAAACGCACACACGTGGGGTGGGGCGGTGGCTCCTGTCCCAGCAGTAGAGGAAGAGGGCAGGAGGGGGCCACTGACAGAGCACAGAGCATCTCTCCTGGGGAACAGGCGGCCCATCTGTAAGCCACCCACGCGGCTCAGACGACTTGCCCTTGGCCTGTCTCAGTCCCACTCGAGCCACTGCTCATGCCCCAGAGAGGGAGGAAGGGAGATTCCCCACCGGCAGAGCCCAGGCCCGTTTGGGTTCCCGCTCCCTGAAGGCGGCCACTCTGGAGGCGAGACACAGCTGACCACACGTGTGAGGAGGAAAGCCGACCTGTTATGAAAGTGGTAAATTTCTTCCATGTTTCCAAATAGAACATCCTTCTTGTTTTGAAGGCCTGTTGAGATGAGATGTGTCATTAACGGGTTGTCCATCTCGGCAGCGTAGCCCTGCGGGAGGGGAGAGAGGCAGGGGGCAGCCTGAGCCGCAGCCGACAGACGGGCGGCCGCTGCCCAGGGGGACGAGACAGTCCCAGGTTTTAGAGAGCAAATCCACCTTGTGTGTACTCACTGGCCTTTTCCAGGATCGTCTGCACAAGCGCCACAAAATGTGAGTGAGTTACAATAGCACAACTTTTTTGGGGGGGGAGGTCTCTTTTCAACGTTTTTAAAATTCAGGTACAACTTCCGTGAAGGGGACAAAACCTCATGTGCACACCTTGATAAGCTATTTATGTGTCTACACCCCTGTAAACCCCGCCCAGTTCAAGATACAGAACATTCCAGCAGCCAGAAGTCCCGCTGTCCCCCTCAGGCAGCAGCTCAGCACGCAGGCGACTGTGCTCCGACCTCCCCACCCTGACGGCAGGCGGGGACTCCCCAGATGGGAACACGTTCTTATTTGATGTCCCCCACTCGTCATCAGGTCCTGAGGGTTGCCCGTGGTCACGGGCCGTAGTAGCAGGTCTTTCTCCTGCTAAACGCTGTCCCTGAGTAAGTCCCCCTAAACCCACTGGGCCTGCTCTTGTGGACGGACATTTGAGTTGTGTCCAGTCTGGGGCTGTTCTGAGTGAAGTTGTGCTTTTCGGTGGACACAAGACCATTTGGGGTGGGGAGCCCCCCAAGCCGCCAGCACAGGGCACCCCAAGTGCGGGCTCACCTCCAGGACGCACAGCAGCTCCTCTACGTAGACCCGTTCCGTGTCAAGGAGCTCGTTCATGACGTGCCTGTGGACAGGGCGTGCGGACTGTTATCCAGAGGCCCGGACCCGCCTCCTGGCTTTGGGGCCACCCACACAAAATGACCCGATTCCTCAAGCGCGTCTCAAGCATCGCTCTGCTCTGGGCACGTCTCCAAGTCCTCCCACCCCGCGGAGTCAGCCCTGCTCCCCTCTCCCGCCGCCGTCTCCTGCAGGAAGAGCCCCTCCTGCGCCTCTGCACCGGCCTGCTCGTCTGGGGCCATCTGCACCCCTACCCCGGGGCATCCTTTAGCTGCTCTAGGGCTTGTCACCACCCTCGTGCACACAGTGGGTGGCCAGTGACGATCAGGGAACTGCCACATGTCCATCATGTTGTGGATGCCCAGAGGGGCGTGGGCCTCAAATGAACAGTTAGGTCTTGTTTTACTGACGAGGACCACCTTTCAACCACTTATGACCAAGCTCCCCACCTTAATCCACAGAAAATGGAGCCACCGGGGTGCTCCTGGGTTGCGATCGTGGAGCACAGACGGTGGGGCACCATCAGTTCTAAAACAGTTGTCAGCACCTAACGAGGCCGTAGGGCCGCAGTTCAGAGTCCACGCTCCTAAACGGGGTGGCAGGAGAAGAGGGGCCTCGGGCCTCCCTCTCACCACCACGAGCTGGAGACCAGTGCTCCTGTCTAGGAGTACAGCGCCTTACAGAGGGGAGGGGGTTCCCAGGTGGGGGTTGAGCTAGATGCTGAGGGCCGGCAGCGAGGGGGGCATTCTGAGTACTGATCTCAGAGTGGGACCACGCAGGGAGGCAGTGCGTGCAGCTGCCCTTTGGACAGTGGACAGTCCAGCCCAGCTGGAAGGTAGGGGTTCCATGGGGAAGTGATCCCCCCACCCCAGGAAGGATGTCGGAAGGGCCCTCTCTGTCATTCTAGAGCTCAGACCTCATCAGCACTGCTGTGTGGGGATGGACACAACCCCAGCCACTCCTGGGAGGGGCGGAGCACACAGGACGCCCAAGCGGGTGCCGTGGAAACAGGGTAGCTGTGGGAAGCAGAGCCTTGGGGTTGGGGTGAAGACGAGGAGGGGAGAGGTTAAGAGAGAGAAGTGACGCTCGGCTCAGCGCATGGAGCCAGGTGGGTGGGAAGGGTTCCTGGGCAGTGGGAGGGACCAAGCCCACCGGGGAGAGGGGAGCCAGGACAGGACCCAAACGGGCCACCCGAGGGCCTGGCTGGGGTGAATCACACTGTCTTCTCGCTTGGGGCCTCAGGGAAGGGAGAATACGAGCCATTTCAAATCAGCAAAGTGCTACCTGAGGATCTGGGGCAAATGCGGCTCTTCTAAGGAAAACCTAAATTTCTCTTGATTTCAGATGTGGACAGGCCAAATGAACACGTGTGTTCCACTTCCGTACATGCACCAGACGCACATGCATGTGCCACACGACACCAGCGTTGCTCCTCCCTGGCGGCTCTGGGGTAGAAGCCGGTGGGTCCGCCAGCTCGGCTCCTGAGGCTGAGACCCGGGGGGTCACGCTGGTCCCACCTGGACCAGAGCCCCTCGGGGGAGCCGGGAAGCAGCCCACCCACCTCCGCAGGATGGCCAGGCTCTCCTCCTCGTCCCCCGTGGAGCTGCCTCGGCCCTGCCGGCCCTCACTCATTTCACTCTGGGGAGAGAAGAGCACACGGGACTCAGCCGTCAAGCGCCAGGCGGCGCCCCCTCCGTCCCGGCTCAGGCCCGGAGCCCAGTCTCATCTCCCGTCTGAACAGATCTGAGGTCACGCAGACCAGGAGCGGCGGGAGGGAGGCAGGCGCAGGGAGCAGGTGGGGGCGGACGGCCGGCTGGGTGGGGGTCAGTGGCGCGGGGCGGGGCCTCACCTTGGCCCTCCTGTAGGGCCCTCTCTGCGCGCTGCCCTCGCAACTGCTGTTCTCAGAACCTCTCCGGATACCTGGTTTGGAAAAAGGGCAGAAGGGTGGGTGTGACTCACCCTGCACCGCCTGGGGAGGGGCAGAGAGCGTGCAGGAGGGTCCGGCATTTTTTTTCACTTTCAGAGGGAAAAGCAAGCAGGCCAGAGAAGGGGGAAGAAACCCCATAAAAGTAGTGAGGAAGGAAAACGGGGCCGGGAGACTAGTCGGGGGACGAGGGGCTGGCCCGTCGGAGTCAGCTCACATCCCAGGGGTCTCCGGCTCCCCGCCCTCCGGCAAGAGCTTTGTGGCCAGGACGCTCCGGTCCGGGAGGTCTCTGAAGAGGCCAGAGAGCGATGTGTCATCGGACCCCGCACACAGGACGTGGGAACTGGCTCCCCAGAGCTCTGACAGCAACACTGGCCAAAGCCCTGAAGAAAACGGTGGGAGCCATCCCAGCCGCTGGGAGAGCGTGTTTGGGGACAGGGAGGTGACAGGAGGGAGTCTCTAGGAACTGGTGGGAGGTCAGCTTGGCCTCAGAGAAGGGCTTCACCCGCCAGGGACACAACGAGGGGCTGAGGCTGACCGTGGCGCCCGGCAGGCGGGCTGAGGCATGGGCACGTGGCTCTTTGGGGCTCAGAGCTCCGGAGGCTCTGGGGCACAGGTCGCAGCCACACTTGACGAAAACTATTCCGGCAACAGTGCTGAGGACAGATGGGTCCTCAGGACTGGGGGGAAGAGGCCCCGGAAAATCCCCCAGCAGTGACTCGATATTCCAGTTCCGTGGACCACGCGCTCCTTGCTGCACTCTGCCAGTGCAGCACAGACAAGGGTAAACCAATGGCGGGCCGAGTGCCAATAAAACTTTATTTACAAAATGGGCGACGGCCCCTGGTGGAACGGAAGGAGGGCGGTCCCTGAAGGGACTGTGGGTGTCTGCACATACCTGGGGAGGCGCAGGGCGACTTGGCGAGCGCCTCGGGCCGGGGGGCCACCGGCTGCACGGGCCGCGTCTGCTTGGCCGCCAGCTTCTTCAGGCTCGCCTGCCTCCGGTGGAACATCTCTTCCATGCTCTCTTGCTTCTGGAAGACCTTCTGCACGTGTTCCTGAGGTGACAGGCGTGACCACTAGTGAGCAAGGAGCCTCACGAGCGTCGGCGTCCACAGTTTAAAAACAGAGGCACCGTGCGCGGCCTCGGCCTCGGCACCCACAACCTCGGATGTGCGTGCTCTGGTGCAGCCATCCCGCCCCGCGCCACTCGCCGTGCACAGGGAGGTGCACCCTCTTAGGAATAACAGACACTAGGCCTCGAGGAAGGTCAGCTCGGGGGAGGGCCCCTCTGCACACACCCTAGGGCGCCGAGGGGAGGGCAGCGTGCCGTGTGTCGCCCCAGGGGTGGGACAAGGGTGGCTGGCGGGGAGCTGGGAGGCGTCCAGTTTCAGTGAAACACGGAGGGGAGCACCAGGCAGCGGGGCCCACAGACATGGCCACTTCCTCGAGAACCCGCCTCAGCGGGACCAATCCCGCGCGAGGCAGGATGACCGCTTTCCAGGGAGGTGTGGAAATAGTTTCTGCGTTGAAAGGGAAGCTGCACCAGATGACCTCCCGCTCGACATCTCTCTCAAGTGCCCGGAACCTCCAAGAACTGGTTCAAGGATTCCTGGGAACGTCGTGGGAGCAGCTCCCACGTGCAGGCAGCGTGCTGCTGTGAGCAGCCCGACGGCTTACCCTCAGGTCTTGGGTGAGGATGAGTTCGTAGTCCTGGTAAATTTTATTGAGCTCCTGGATCTTATTTTCTGCGCCGGTCTCCAGAAACTTCTCGATCTCCTGGAGGGCTGCCTCTGCGCCGTCCTGGGACTGGCACTTGTCCACAGGCTGGGAGGCCAGCAGGTAGATGCCTTCATCGCACCACTTCATGGACTGGACACGTGGAGCGTTGCCGGGGGGGAAAATGGCACCGTGAGACGCTGCGTCTGGGCGTCCCCGCAAAGGGCTCTGCCAGGGCCTCTCGCTGTCTCCTGTGCGGCCTGCTGACCGCTACACTCTCGGGCATCTCTGCAGCACCGCATCGGCTCAGTTCTGAACTATGACCCAAGGGGGACACGGTGCCGAAAACACCCCAGCAAATCACCCGGACCGGACTCGCTCACAGAGAGGCAGGGCGCCATGCGCTAGCTAGACCGTAAGTTTCTGGGCCCTTTACAGAAACCGTTACTTGTGGCAAATGAATTCTAGAAAAGAGACGACTGAGTCAGGAGGTGACCGTCTGGCCAGAAGAAAGGTGTGGGGTGTGGGACCAGTTTCCACTCAGTGACTGATGTCTACCCGCCCGGAGGGAGCTGGCCTGAGGGACCGAGAGGCAGTTTGCCTGTGGGGCGCGGGTCGGGGGCCTACCGCCTCCAGGAGGCTGTGCAGCTCCAGCGACTTGCCGAGCAGCCCCCTCCTCCGCCCGACCTCGGCGGCAAACTGGTCGCAGAGGTGCTGCAGCTCGTGGCACTTGGGGCGGATGGAGTCCACCGCATAGTGCTTGTTGCCGATGAGCTGCTCACCCTCCAGGGACAAGGCGCGGGCCCGCTCCACGGCTGCCTGCGGGAGAGAGTGCCCAGACACGCAGTCAGCTCCTGTTCCTTACATGCAGGCGGGGCGAGATTTCCTGCGGGGGATCAGGGGACAGTGGGGGAGGGGTTAGGGTAGGGGTGGTGGGGAGAGGATGGGGTGAAGGGGGTGGTTGGGGGGAGACTCGGTGGGGGTGGACCAGGCAGCTGTTCCTCCACCTGCGGACGTCACTCAGGGCTGGGGGCTTCCGCTTGGATGGCGGGAAAGCCCAATTCCGGAACCTTCCTAAGCAACCTTGGTGACATCGTGCTTGCAGCCTCACCAGGCTGACGCCCGCCCAGACGTCCCCATCCTTACACTGGACTTCTCCTCGAAGCTCGTGAGATCCTTCAGGAGGTGCTCCACGTGCGCCAGGCTGTTCCCCACGTCGGTGAAGGTCACTATCTTCTGGGCCAACGTGTCCAAGGCGGCTTTGACCTGAAACAGAGGAGGAGACCAGAGACCCGGGCCCACGTCAGGACAGCCACTGCTGAGGGAGAGGACATGGACACAACACTGAACCCGGGAATCGAGGGAGGGAGGGAGGGAAGACCCAGATCTTCTCTCAGAAAAACAGGACGAGAGGGAAACTTCCTCAGTTTGATGAAGAGCGTCTACAAACATCCTACAGCCAACGCCACGGGAATGACGCGGGGAAAACAACACTCTCCCCCGGGACTGGGAACGAGGCGAGGACGCCCACTCCCTCACCATCATCCAAGTGGTAGAAGCTCTACCCAGTACAAGAAGGCAAAAAATCACTCAAAACATAAACAAACAACAGATATACAGATCACAAAGGAGGAACTCAAGCTGTCCCTGTCTGCACACGATCTGATGGTCCATGTGGGGATCCCAGAGACTCCACAAAATGACGCCTGGAATAAGTGAGTTCAGCAAGGTCTCAGGAGACAAGATACACATACAAAAACCAACTGTGTTTCTATCCATAGCCATGAACACATGGACACCAGAACTAAAAGTACAGTACCATTTATGATGGCTTAAAAAAATGAAACACATAGTGTAAACCAAACAAAGCATGTGCTGACCTGGTAGGCTGAAAACCACACATGGATGAAAGAAATCTGAGAAAATCTAAATAAGTGGTGAAACGTGTTGTGTTCATTGATGGCAAGAGTCAACACACTCAAGATGTTGATCACCCCAAATACGGGTTTAACACAATTCCTATCAAAACCCCAGCAAAATTTTTTGTAGCTATCGACGAGATTATTTTAAAATTTATATGGAAAGGCAAAGGAACCAGAATAGAATAAAAGTATTTTGGAAAAGAACAATAAAGTGGGAGGAATTCATTCGCCCGATTTCAGGGCTTACTGTATAGCTACAGTGATTAGGGCCGTGTGGCGTTGACAAAGGGACAGAACCCAGACCCAGAAACAGACCCAAACAAAAATGCCCAACTGATCTTTGACAGAAGTGGGCGAGCAAGCCAGGGGAGGAAAGACAGCCTTTTCCACAAATTATGGCAGAGCCCCTGGACAACCAGAGATTAAACCGTGACCTAATTCTCACACCCTATACAAAAATAACTTGAAATGGATTGTGGACTTAAATGAAAAACTACAAGCTTTTAGGAAAGAAAAGCTTAGGGACATACATTTGGGATCTAGGATTTAAGATTGTAAGGCTTGTTAGGATGATCCTTAAAAGGCAAAATTGATAAATGAGACTTCATCAAAATTAAAAACTTTGCTCTGTGAAAAACCCTGTTAAGAGGATAAAAAGACGAGCAACAGATTGAAAGAAAATATCTTCAAACTACACATCTGACAAAGGACTAGTATATAAAGTAGATAAAGAACTCTCAAAACAGTAAAAAACCAAAACCAAAACAACCCAGTTAGAAAATGGGAAAGAGACATGAGACACGGAAGAGAAGAGACTGTTGACAAATAAGCTCATGGAAGGATGTGCAGTGTCCTCAGCCGTTCGGAAAGGCAAAACGGACCCACAACGAGATACCACTACACACCTATCGGAATGCGTACAAAGCAAAGACAAGGCCACACCAAGGGCTGGTGAGGAGGCTGAGGAACCGGACCACCCACACGTTGCTGGTGGGTGCAAAGTGGTGCAGCCACCTGGACACAGTTTGCCACTTTCTTAAAAAGCTAAACACGCAGCTACCACACGACCCAGCAACCGCAGCCTGAGCACCTGTCTCAGAAACGACGACTTAGGTTCACGCAAACATCTGAACACATTTATAGCAGCCTTACTGGGAAGAGCAAAAGCCTGGAAACAGCCCAGCTGCCCTTCAGTGGGTGGATGATCAAACCGCGGTCCGTCCACACCGCGGACGCTAACGACTCAGCAGTAACAAGAACAAACTCCTGGAACACGCAGCAGCCTGGGTGAATCTCTAGAGAATTACGTTGCGTGAAAAGAGCCAATCCTCAAAGTGCAGTTCTGTCTGGTTCCATCTATAGGACATTCTCGAAATGACAAGATTATGGAAACAGAGAACAGACTGGTGGTTGCCGGGGGTCAGTGTGGGGAGGGGAGGGGCGGAGGTGGGTGCGTCCGTAAAGGGGAAACGGTCCCGTGGTGACCGAATGCTCTGTGTTCCCCGTGTCAGGGTCAGTGTCCTGGCTGCGCTCCTGAGCTACCGGCTGGGAAGATGTCGCCACTGGGGGAGACTGGGTGAAGGGTACACGGGGTCTCTCTGGATTATTTCTTACAACTGCACGTGAATCTACAATTATCCCCAAATAAAAAGCTCGATTGTCTGAAGAGCCCTCCTCAGTCCCCACAAAAATAAGTAATGATGCCCCTCTTCCCCGGTGCTCCTGTGGTGTGCTGTGCACACTGGTGGCTCCTGCTGCCTTTCTGGTCTCCATGAGGGAAACTGGTCCTCCTCACTCCCCAGAGCTCAGGCAGGTGTCCTGACCTTAACAGTGCTCAGTGAATGCTGCTCAACTAAATCCCACGTTTTCCAAAAGCTGACCTTCCGGGACCCTCTGCAAAGGACTAGAACTGGAGGATGCGCCCCACAGAGCTGGTCGTGGGTCCTGCTCGCCCGGCACCTGCACGCTGCCTCCCAACAGCTCCGTCACTGACTCCATGCGGCCACTTACTCTTGTATGTTTACGAGTCCTGCATCCTGACCAGAGCTTTCCTGAGGACAGGAAACACTTGCTCTGTGGGTCTGCGTGCCTAGCGCCAGGGCTGGACCATAGGGAAGTCTCAGTATGTGTGTCCTGTGTAAATAAACCATTAGCCGGCTTCTGATGGGTGGCCTAACGATTTAACACAATGGTGGGGCATCGATTCCACAGCCCTGTCACCCTGAATCCGAGGGAGCCTGTGTCTTTCATTTTTCTATACACCAGGCACACAGCAGGCACATGATAAACACACGCTGGAGAAAGAACATACAAACACCTCTAAAGAGGGAACGAAGGCTCCCTGAGTGACTGACAGATGGTGCAGGAGGCAGAACCCACCAACAGGCAGACTTCACAGAACCTTTTGTAGACAATGATCCATCCATCAAATCGCATGTTTCAAGGCTTAGTCCAACCTGATCTGGCAGGTGACAGGTGCCCATCTATGCGCTCTGAGCCACTCACCTCTCGGAAATCCTGCTCAAAATGCCGGAGCTGCAGACACTGTTCGAGTTTTTGCTGATGCTTTGCCCAAAACTCATCAAAGGCGGCCTCGGTTTCATTCAGCTGGGCCAGGAGCCTAGGAAAGAGCGTGTGTGCTGTGTGGGGGCAGCACGTGGGGTGCTGAGGAACGGCCCTCCAATGCAAAGGGGGGCGGGGGGCTCGGTCTCCACACAGCCTTGCCGAGACCCTCCCTCCCCTTGTCCCGGGCACCGAGCTGCAGGGTTTGCAGGGCCCATCCCGCGGGAGGGAGAGGCATGTCAGAAAGCAGAGGGTCCCTGCCCCACAGGCCTCACGGCACTGGGACACGGTGACACCGCCTCCCTGAAGAGGCCGCTTGGCGGCTGTTGAGCTGCGCTTATTAATTTCTGAAAGGTCCAGATTGTAATGGTTTGGGCTTATTATCTATAACTCTGCTTCGGGGGTGAGGGAAGGGGTAAGCTGTCACCATGCACGAGTGGGTAAAGAGCTGCTGCCACCTCTCGCTGTCACTGTCCCCAGTCTGAACCCCTATGTGCCAGATGCTGTGCTGGGTGCTGACGTGTGACCCTGTCTGCTCCTGCACCCACTCTGTGGGCGGGAGGGCGTGCCCCTCTGCAAGATGAGAAACCAGAGCCTCGTAGGGGGGACCACCCTCCTCCGCTGGTGACGTCCCATCTACGAGGGACCTGAGTGCCCCCGGGGCCTCCCCTGATGCCCCAGCGCAGAACGCCTGCTCCACGTGTGAACCGCGGCTGCACTGGGGCCACAGCAAGTATCAGCCTGGGTGCAGGCCTGGGTTGGCCTGTGATGGGCTGGGGACTGCCGGCAGGCCGTCCTGTCGCTCCACACCTGGCCCCCACCTGTCCTCACATGAGGGGATGGCCTGTGGGGCAGAGAGCACGAAATGGGAGGAGTGCGTGGGGTCGCGGACACTCCGAGGCCACAGGACGTTAGCCGACAGCAGTTAACCCTGTGGGCACGTCACCCTGTGTCCTGTTTCACAGCCGGAAACCACGGGAGAAAAGGGCGGACATTCCCTTTACAGAGAGAGAGAAGGATACGCTTCTAAGCCACGGGCCGCGACCTGGGGCGGGACAGGACAGGTGGGCGACGGAGCGCAGGCCCGGGCGGACCCCCCACCCCACTGCTCTCCCTCAAACGTCTCCTCTGTCTTGTGAAGAAGAGCGTTGCTCCCAGAAACCTTGCTCCCCAGAAAACTGCTTTCTTTGGATTTGGAAGAAAAGTATTTCAGCAACAAGGACCCTGAGGCCCCCCCGCTTCCCGTTAGGGCGAGAAGCTGAGGCTCAGAGAGGCGACGTGTGTTCGGGCACACAGCCTCACCTCTGCACGGTGGTCTGATTGTCCAGCTGGTCCTGGTTCGGGCTCTGCTCCGTGCTCCTGGCCAGAGGCTCCCTGATGCTCTCCAGGATGCTCCGCCCCTCGTCCAGCGCCAGCCTCATGTTCTCCTGCGGGCAGAGCACAGCACGTCACACTGGGACTCAGTCCAGGTCAGAGAGTGCAGTGGGCTCCGCGGTGCTCCCCTGCATGGGCAGTGGGAGGCGAAGACGAGCAAGGTGGACATGTGACCAGCCCAGTGAGGTCCTCCTGGACCCTCCGTGCTGATGGCTCGCTCCTGCGTTTCGCTTGGAACTGGGAGGGAGGGCCGGTGTCGGGGGCTCCTCCTGCTGCGACCAGGGCACAGATAGGTGACGGGTTGCTCAGGGGCAGTGGGACAAGGTAAGACAGATACGGGAAGCCAGACAAAGGGAGTGAGGGGTTCTCTGGGAGGGGGCAGCCCCGAGGACCAGCTGGGGGTCACGGCCACTGCTGATTCAAAGCCACAGCGTGCAGGTCGGGTGCGGGGCAGGAGGGGGCAACGGACTCAGAGAGCTCGTCTCCCTCGGAACATATTTATCCAGGAAGTGATGGTAAACACAGTTTCAACACAGAAGAACCTGAACCTCTCCAGCCAGTCCAGCGCTTCTCTACCTTCTGTCACTGGACACCAGGGGTCTCTGCTTGGTCCAACTAACAAGCAGCAGAAACAGCTGGAAGGCAGGCCCTATAGCACGCACAGCTCAGGAGCTCGTCCAGAGGAGGCTGCCTGAGGCCTTGCTTCACTCGGATCTGTGAGCGTCGACCACGGGGCCGCCTCCTGCACTTCACAGCGTTGGTTCACGCCGCTCACGGGGAGCCCTGTTTCACGCCCCTCCAGAGGGTCCCCCGCTCGTCAGCACCACAGCATCTTTGAAACCCCCCTACTCTGTCTCACTGAGGCCGACACCGCTGCTCTCCTCCACCATCTTGCTCGCGGGTGGAGGACCCCGCGGAAGCCGCACGTACCTTTGCTTTGTGCTTCTTCTCCGTGTGTGCGATGAGCACAGAGCTTGTGGATGGGACGTCGTTGGGCAGTTCCGTCTCGGCCAGCTCTGTCCCGAAGGACTGCAGCATCTGAGCCGTCTGCTTCACCATGACAGCAAAACTCTCAATGGCCTCGGGAAGAGGAGAAACAGCGTCACTGAGCTTTGCAGGCACCGCTCCCTCCTCTGCCTGGAGAGGAGACGTCCCCCGCAGACCCGGAGGGCGTCTCAGAGATGGGACAGGGCCACTGCAAGTCTGCTTTGCGTAAATACCTTCCCGCGTGTTCCTTAGCCTCACGGCTTCCTCAGAAACATACCAGGCACCCCTTACACACGCCGTCACCACCCAGAGTCATGCTACGCTCGAGGGCTCTCTCTCTCCGTTAGCAGAAGTGTGAGTGCCACAACCACAACACGGGGTTTTCTTTCTCTCGTTCTTTCTGTCTCTGAGCCCAGAGAAAGCCACTCCCGAATTTATTACTCATGTTATTTCTTTAAATGACTGAGGTCCACTGAGACCATCTCCTCATTCTTGGGGAGAAAACTTCGGCTAATGGGAACATGTCTCTGGGAAAGGCAGCATCGTAACGCAAAAGCAATTCTGTTGGATTAACTAGGGATTATTGAGAAGCACGGCCCCCAGCCAGCACCCGGGAGTGCCAACAGGACTCACTGTGCGGTGACACAACCACTTGGTGTGGCAGTAATCCAGGGTCCCGCCCAGGTCCTCCGTCAGCTGGGACTTGTCAATGTAATCGTGCAATTCTGGTACTGAGCTCAGCATTGTGACCTAGAGGAGCAAGAAAACCGCCCCATAAACAGACTGCCTGGCGCACGAGGAGGAAACCAGCTCCTGCGGATGTTAAGGGTGGCAGCGTGGGCAGAAGCATCTAGTTAAATCCTAGCTCCACTACTTATGGGCTGGTTGACTTCACGCGAGTTGCTATTCTCTCTGGGCCTCGGCCTTCTTGTTCATGAAATGGGTATAAGATGGTTACTCTCACCAGGTGACAATCATCAAGGCATGAAAAACCTGGGCAGACAGCTGGACACACAGCCGAGATGGGGCGTCTGATGGGTGAACGCTCCTGGGCCAGGGGACCTCGGCCTGGCCGCCAAACGGTGCTCTGACTCCAAGAAGATGACTTTGCCCCTCTTCCTGCTGAAACACCACGAGGTCGCTGCCAGTGCTGGTCGGGGTCAGCACAGCGCCTCCAGGGCACGGCTGCCGTCACAGGTAGATGCGTGGCAGCTGTGACCAGTGAGCTCTTCCTCGCGGGACGTGTTTTTATTTTTCTGTACTTCTCTTGCCCTCTCTGAGGTTATTCTGTCTGTGAGTTTTGGATAAAAATATAGCCCGTGCTTTGTAAGCCTCAGACGGATGCTATAAGACAGGTCTCAAGAGGTTTAGCCCAAGCGTCACTCGATACCACGTCGTGTATCATTAAACACGGCGTCCGCTGAGGGGGGTTCTCCCGGCGGTTCTGTCTAGTGCTGAGGTCGGCACACAGTGCCGAACGTCAACATGAATACATTTTGACAGCAGCGCTCTTCCGTGACACTTTCTGAACCTCTAAAGAGTGATCCAAAATGGAATTGAAGACGCCGCCATGGTTTCTGGGAAACCTGCTTTTGAGAACTCACTAACTGTGCCCGAGAGTGGCGTCTGCAGGCTGACCCAGCACTCACGACGGAGACCTCAGCCTCGTTTCCTGGGACAGCTACGTGGACAGAGCTGTTGCTAACGAGCTTTACTTGCCAAATTCACGGAAGAGACTGGGCACCCCGAGGTCACTCTCACAGGGGCCGTGACACGTGACTGCCGGGGAGGTGGCTGTCCTGAGAGCTCGGGGGCCGGGGGGGCAGAGGCCTCACACACGCGTCTGGCCATGTCAGTGTCGCCAACGCGAACCTCCAGCCTGACGAGGGCGCCTGGTCTCCAGGGTTTGATCACTAATCATCTCGGAGAAACTGACTGCTGGAACTCAGGCTTCTCTGATGCACAAAGGCGGTGGGCACGGTTTTCCCCAAGGCCCCGAAGCCCGTGGTTTAGGGCTGCCCAGCGGGACTTGTCCCCAGAGGCTCAGTGGCTCCTCACACCGGCCCGTGGACTGGCAGAGCGCCCGCCGTCCTGTGTATGGAGGAAGAGGTAGCGCGACCTCGCCAGGGTTCTTGCGTTTCCAAGAGCAATCTGGCTGGTACTGCTGCACAGGCAACGAGGCACCTGCAGCCGGCCCTATGGGGCTTCCTTGCAAAGGAGAACAAAAGAACTCCTGGGGAGCAAATGAGTCACGGGGTGCACTGCCTGCCGAGTCCACCCTGCCTACGGCCCTGCCTGCTGAGGCCCACCCACCCTGGCCTGCAGCTCAGAGTTCCTGCGGCAGGCCGGAGGGCACACGCCCCCACTTCTTGGACCCCCTCGCCCCCAGGCCCTGGCAGAGCTGGCGTTCCTCACTAGGAGGCTGGCATGGCTCTCAGCCCGTTGGGCTCTCTTATTATTCAGCCTGAATTGCTGTAAGAACATTCTGGGCTTGTGGGTCTGACGAAACACCCGCACTTTTATGGTGGGCCATCTGGGCAAGGCTGCGCTGTGCAGTGTGAATGTCAGTGTGGGTGGGGTGGGGGGGTGAGGCTCACACGGCTCCTGCCGCGTAAGAGGAAGCACAATGTCCCACTGACTCGTCCGGGGCCGTGTTCACGCCCACCCATTGAGGCTGCCACCTTGAGAATTTCGATTGTTGTAGACGGGCCAGGAACGCAATTCAGTTCAGTGCTGCCTACGGAGCGAAAGCAAGGCATACTCACCGGTACCTTCATCTTAAAGTCATCTCTGTTGAATCTGAAAGCGAGGTCAGAGAGGGTCCTCTGGAAAAATCCCGTTGGGCGCAGGACAAGGACGCGCTGGAGGTTTGCCGGGAAGGACGCCTGTGAGAGAACAGAGGGCGGTGGCATCGCTGTGGCGGCTCGGAGGCCGAGCCTGGGCCCCACACCTGCAGTGGACAGCACGCTGCAGAGAGCTGGGGGCCAGCTCACTGGTCCAGGTGTTCTCAGCACGCCACCATCACACTAAGACAGAAATGGCCACAGACATGGGGCTGTGAGGGCATCCTCACCGCTTCTTAAAAGAAAAGGAAAAACATCCCAGTGCTTGGTACAACCCTGTCAGCTGTTTATAAACTTAAAAGTGGAAAGCTTGTCACACTCGTCACTGAACTGTGTCCCGCAAGTTCTTAGGCTGAAGAGTCCAAACCCCTAGGGCCTCAGAACGCGATGGTGTTTGAGGTCTTTGCAGAGGTGGTCACGTTAAGACGAGGTCATCGGTGTGGCCCCTAACCCAGTGTGACTGGTGTCCCTATAAAAAGGGGACATTTGCAACAGACATGCACAGGGGAACGCCATGGGAAGATGGAGGCAGGTTGGCGTGATGCGTCTACAAGCCAGGGAACGCCCAGGGTCGCCAGCCACACCGGGAGCGGGGGGAGATGCTCCCTCAGAGCCTCTAGGAGGAGCCGACCCGCGACATCTCCATCTCGGACTTCCGCCTCCAGGACCGGGGGAGAGTTGGTTCCTGCCGTGTGGCTGCCCCGTCTGTGGAACGTTGTTACGACAGCCCCAGGAGCCAAGATACTTATCAGATAAAAACAAAGCCATAAGACGCGTTCCTGTAATTGCCTAAGACGAAGATAAAGACAGGCTTCCCCCAGCACGCGCCCACCCTAAGACACGTGTACGTGAATATACTCGGTTACCAGCTCTGCTTACAAGGTGCGTAACCTCTGGCAAGTTACCTAACCTCTCCGTGCCTCAGTTTCCCTGTCTGTAAGACCAGGATAACAGAGTGCCTTCCTGACCACAAACTTTTGAGGGTTAGTGACCTAACAACAGGCAGCGTTTAGCACCATGCTCGCACCATGCGCTCAGAAACGCGGCCCCCACAGGTCTACTCCAGATGCCAGACAATTTCCAAAGGCTGAAATGCAGGGAGACCCTGTCACTAAAAAACAAAATTTGGAAGCGACTGAGTTGGTTTCCGGGTAACCAGGCTAAGTGCACCTGAGACACAGAAAAGAGGAGACCCAGCCCACAGCCTGAGGCGGACACGGCAGCAAGGAGTCGCCCAGGTACCTTGGCTGAAGGTCGTCCCTGGGCCGCCCTTGAATAGCCAAGCTGGCCTCAGAAGGCCCAGCAGAAGCAGGCCCGGGGGGCACGGGTGGGGAGCCCCGTCCCTCGTGGGGACCAGCAGCTGTGGAGGGCAGCGTGGCTCCGCTGGCAGGAGGGAGCCGACTGCATCACGGCAGCGACTGTGGGAATGCTGGGTCACACAAGTCCCCAGGTTCTCACAAACCTCTGGGACCAGAAAATAACTGGCTGGGACCTCGCTCGGGAACGGAAATGAACTTTTCAGTCCACGTGAGGCCCTGGTGGCAAGGCCTCGACCAAAAGCACGAAGCAGGGGCCGCCCGTCAGGCCACCCTGCTTCCCGGGAGGAATGGAAGGAAGGCCAGAGCGCGGCCACTCTTCCTGCACGTCAACCAAGCGCCAGAGCCGCGCCCGCCGTGGTGCCGCTGCCATCCCAGCGCGGGGCGCGAGGGCAGAGTTTGCTGAACAGCGAGAGGTCCTCTCGTGAGCGACTCCCTTAGGGGACCTCCCCTCTGCTCAGTGCAGCAGCCGCCTCCCCTCCCAGGAGGCCGTTCCCACGCAGCCGCGCTCTCTGCCAGCGGGTCTCACTCCAGCTCACAAGAATCCCGGAGGGCCGGTCACCCCAGACCTGGGCGCCCAGTGAGTGTCTGACTCAGCAGAGCATCCGAGGAGATGCGCACGCGCCACGACAGCCCTGCTCACGGCCCCACGGCCCTCGGTGGCACCGTGTCCCTGCAGCTTGTCCGCAGAACTGAAAGTGGGGTCGCGGCCTCACCCCCTTGGCCCCAAGGCCTGGATCTGCATCGAGCGAGTCCCCAGGGGCCTCTGATGCCGGATCCCACCTCAGTTTGAGAGCAAGTCCCTCTCGTAAGAAAAAAACAAAGAGAAAGCAAGGTGGCTGGCGTTGGCCGCTCTGGGTCCAGCCTTGGCCACGAGGCCCAGGTTAGCCCACCTCCCCGGGATCAGACAGCACAGGGTCGCTGGGGACCAAACCGACAGCCGAGGCCTGAGCTTGCCGCCATTGGGGCGACCAGCAGCCCAGTGCCTCGCCCCAGCCCAGCGACCCACGGCGCTCAGGCCACACAGGGCTCTCGTGGCCCTCCCTGTCTCTCACACCCCACAGCTGACCTCAAATTCCACCTGCTCTCCCTCCAGATTTCATCCAGAACCTCCGCACTCCTTCCCCACCCAGCTCTCCTGCACCGCTGCCCCTGGGCCTGCTCTCCAGGGCAGTGCCACCACGACCCTTTAAGACGCCAGCCGTGCCATGACACCCTCCTGCACAAAACCTTCCAGAGACTCCCCCGCGCCTGACACAAACCAGAGCCCTGACCACAGCCTGCGGCAGCCTCCTGACCCCAAGCCGTCCCCTACGCGGTCACACACCCGTCGCTGCTTCCTCACTCAGACACCCGCCTGGCGCTTCAGACTGGGGAGGGCCGCTGGGAGCCATGGCGGCGGCAGATCCCAAAGGAATCCCATCGTCACACCCAGCACCTGATAGGGCAAAGCCATGGGCGCCACGCCCCCAGGGCCATGCCCCCTAACCGCCAACCGCGGGTGGGCCACTCCAACCCTCTGCAGGGAGCGCTCAGCGTTTGACTCCCCAGCAGCCCCGTTCTCCTTTCCTCTCTAACTCGAAGGGCGCCTTCAGGCTGAATTGCATCGCCCCGTTCCCGCGGCCCTAACGCACGGCTCCATCTGCAGTCATCTTCCTGTCCACCCCACCCTCCTGCCCAGGGCCGGCCCTGCGTCTGAGCTGGAGCTCGCGCCCACCAGGCCATGCTGGACAGCTTCAACTCCTTCCTCCCTCGGATCTCGTCCCCACCAGCAAACACCCAGCCAGCGCCTTCCCGTCAGACATGCAGCTTCCATCCCTGCTTCTTCACTTCTGGTTTGGGCCTCACGCCCCCCACAGAACCACACAACCCAAGGCCCCGACGGCCATCCTGCTGTGGTTCCAGCCCTTGGCCACCCGGAACTGGTGGGATGTCCCCCCACTGGAGAGGCACGTTTCTGTACCATGTGACGTCGCCGTCCGGGCCCCGCGCGCTGTTCTGACCTTCTCCAGCGGCTCCTTTCCCTCCTCCTCCCGCCCGTGCACCAGAACCCACGTCTGTGGACGTCCTGGGCTGCCTCATCAAGGTTTAAAACTGCCACCCACTCACTGGTGGCCTCCAAGCTGTGTCTCTGGCCTGGTCCCTCCCTAAGCTTCCACCTGAGGGCCCTCGACACCTGCCAGGCACCTCCATCACCCTCCAGGAACCTTGAGGGCGGCGGCCCGGCTCAGTGACCACTGCCTCTGGCCTGGGCGTGAGGCGCGCGCCCTCCCCGAAGGTCCTCCAACTGTCAGAGCCGTGGAGGACGGGGACCCGTGTCCTTGGTCGCAGCACTTCAGCTGCCTGCTGGGTGTCTGCGGCTGTGTGAACGGGGAGGTGAGCCGAGGGCTGTCTGCCCAGCCGTGGCCTCCATACTCGCCCACCTTCACCCGCTGGACCCACAGCCGGGCCTGGGCAGGGTTATCTCAAGGTGGGTGGGCTCTCGTGGGCCTCATTCAGCCCTGTGCTCTGTGCCCCACCATCAGGTTCTACGCTCGGACACAGACGTCTCTGCATCCCGTGAGCAGCACACAGCACGACCGGGGAGATTTGACTGCTCAGCACCATAACAGGAGGGACTGTGAAATGAGCACCCAGTGAGCAGAGATCTCTGCATTATGCCCAGGAGGGACTGTGAAATGAGCACCCAGCAAGCAGAGATGTCTCTGTTATGCTCAACAGGGACTGTGAAATGAGCACCCAGTGAGCAGAGATGTCCCTGTTATGCCCAGGAGGGATTGTGAAATGAGCACCCAGTGAGCAGAGATGTCTCTGTTATGCCCAGGAGGGACTGTGAAATGAGCACCCAGCGAGCAGAGATGTCTCTGTTATGCCCAGGAAGGACTGTGAAATGAGCACCCAGCGAGCAGAGATGTCTCTGTTATGCACAGGAGGGATTGTGAAATGAGCACCCAGTGAGCAGAGATGTCTCTGTTATGCTCAGGAGGGACTGTGAAATAAGCACCCAGCGAGCAGAGATCTCTGCGTGATGCCCACTCCCACTTACACAGTTTGCCTCCGTTGAGTGGAAAGAAAACAACTCAGAAATGCGGCTGAAAGACGGAGGCCTGAGGGCAGGTTCTGGGTCACCTACCAACGAGAGGACTGTGTCACCACCATCTGTGAGACTGGCCGCCGCTATTTAAGGAAAACGTCCTTACGGAAGTCTCTCCGGAGGTGACGAGGCGTCATGCTTTTCTAAATTTCTGCAGTTTCATCGCCCTCAGTGACACCTCAGGCAGACGTGCCCCATCAGGACGAGTTTCAACTTAGACAACAGAACTGTGCCGCTTGTCCCTCGGCAACCTTGCTGAGATGCGGTCAGTGCAGGCGGCAAGAGGACGGCCTGGCAGCGGGACCCCGCCCTCCGGGGGACGACCACCTGCTGCGCCCGCGGCTGGGGTGACTGTCAGCGTGGAAACAGCTCATCCGCGTCCTCGGCTTTGCGTTAGTCTTTCTGTTTCTTTACACTATTGAATCTTTACATTAAAGACGGTAATCGTAAGATCCCAGCCAAGCAGGAAGCCTTTAAGGACACACACGAATGTGTATTCTGAAGACACACGACAGCAAATGACATCTTCTCTGGGTTGGAGTCAACTGTGTGTACTAAAAGCTGAAGAAAATTCCAGAATAAAACCTTCATTTTAAAAATAGAGGTAACTAGATGGGAGATTTGTGTGAAAG